TACACCCATACCCACAGTCACACCTGTACACACACGGATACACCCATACCCACAGCCTGTACACACACGGATACACCCATACCCACAGTCACACCTGTACACACACGGATACACCCATACCCACAGCCTGTACACACACGGACACACCCATACCCACAGTCACACCTGTACACACACGGATACACCCATACCCACAGTCACACCTGTACACACACGGATACACCCATACCCACAGTCACACCTGTACACACACGGATACACCCATACCCACAGCCTGTACACACACGGACACACCCATACCCACAGTCACACCTGTACACACACGGATACACCCATACCCACAGTCACACCTGTACACACACGGATACACCCATACCCACAGCCTGTACACCCACGGATACACCCATACCCACAGTCACACCTGTACACACACGGATGCACCCATACCCACAGCCTGTACACACACGGACACACCCATACCCACAGTCACACCTGTACACACACGGATACACCCATACCCACAGTCACACCTGTGCACACACGGATACACCCATACCCACAGTCACACCTGTACACACACGGATACACCCATACCCACAGCCTGTACACACACGGATGCACCCATACCCACAGTCACACCTGTACACACACGGATACACCCATACCCACAGCCTGTACACACACGGATACACCCACACCCACAGCCTGTACACACACGGATACACCCATACCCACAGTCACACCTGTACACACACGGATGCACCCATACCCACAGTCACACCTGTGCACACACGGATGCACCCATACCCACAGCCTGTACACACACGGATACACCCATACCCACAGTCACACCTGTACACACACGGATACACCCATACCCACAGTCACACCTGTACACACACGGATGCACACGTGCACACGAGAGAGAGTGAGAGACAGAGAGAGACAGGGAGAGAGACAGAGAGAGACAGAGAGAGACACAGAGAGACAGAGAAAGATGGAGAGACAGAGAGACAGAGAGAGAAGGAGAGAGAGACAGAGATGCAGAGAGAGACAGAGAGATGGAGAGACAGAGAGAGACAGAGAGACACAGAGAGAGACAGAGATAGGGAGAGACAGAGAGAGAGAGAGACAGAGAGAGACAGAGAGAGAGCTGACAATATGTGCAAGCCAGAGAAGGAGGAACCAGGACCTTGAGTGTGGATGGATTCCTGTGTTCCCAGAATCACCAGGAAGAGAATGAGAACATGGTAGACTGAGACCTGTATCCTGTGCCCCAGTTACCCCAGCAACCAGGTGCCCATCCCCAGCAAAGAGGAAGCCGTGGCCAGAGTGACCTGTGGCTCAGAATGAGTGTGATCGCAAGGCAAACCTGTAGCTAGAGGGCTTGTCCAAAGTCTGTGGTACAGGGCCACAATGGCAGCACCCGACCTGCCCCTGGGCTTCTTTTCCTCTGAGGCTGCTCAAATCAGAGCAGGGGACCTTGTCATGTCAGACCCGCCTGTGTGTGGTGTTGACACCCACGGAGACTATTATAGAAAAGAGAGGAAAGTCAAAGAGGGGCTTGGGGCGGCTCAGTGGGTAGAGCGCTTGCCATAAGCATGAGCATGCAAGCTAGCTCCCCAACACCCATCTAAAAAGTTAGCAGGGTAGCACACATTTGTAATCCCAGCCCTGGGGAAAGGGAGACAGGAGGATTCCCGGGGCCCACCAGCCAGCCAGCCCATTCTAATTAGCAAGTCTTAGGTCGCAATGTGAGACCTTGTCTCTAAAAAAACCAAACCAAACCAAACCAAAATTATGGTAGAGGGTGGCACCTGAGGAATTTACACCTGAGGTTGACCTCTGGTCTCCATGCACATAGGCACAAATTTGGACACCTGCACCCATACACACACACACACACACACACACACACACACACACACACACTCGAGCTCCCACAGGCATGTGTGCATGCCTACACACACACAGACACATGAATATACACAGAGAGAGTAAAGGAGTCAAGCCCTCCTTCCCCCAACTCTCTGCTCCCTCCTCCCAGGTGGCCATCTGGGCCCCAGAGAACAAGAGGGAGAAAGCACCCAGACCCTGGCCTGTCCATGCATCTGAGAGTCCCGAAACCACAGCCCACCCCACTCCCAGAGACTGCAGTGCTCCTGAGACTCTGTGCCACTCGGGGCCCATGAGAGAGAGAACAGTCATGACCAGCTTTGGGGCTCCCAAGGTATCTTCAACTTTCCTTTGCCCAAATCCCACAGCAACAGGCCAAGGGGTTTTCCTTCTCTCCTGTTCTCCCTCTGCCCTGACCCTGGCACGCTGATCTTTTGCCTTGAAACATCAATCAAAGAGACAGGCCTGCCACCCCTAAGCACTGATCTCAAATGGTTCTGCCGCCCTCTTAAGGGACTGGCCGAATTCAGAGGAGATGCTTACTGGATGGGTCTCAGGCAACAAGCTTAGCCAGGTCACATGTGCACAGGCATGATGTGGCATGAATATGGAAGTCAGAGGACAACTTGATGTTGGAGCTCTCCTTCCACCATGTTAGGCTGTGGGGATCAAACTCAGGTCACCAGGCTTGGTGGCAAGCCCCTTCACAGGCTAAGCCATCTTGCTGGCCCCACTTTATTTTTCTGAGACAAGGTCTCTCACTGAATATAGAGCTTGCTATTTTGGCTAGCCTGCCTGGCTAGAGAGCTCCTGAGCGCCCCCTGTCTCCTCTTTCCAGCTCTCAGGTTCTAGGCAATGCCACCAAGCCCCACATTTATGTGGGTGTTGGGGTCCTTGTGTTTGTGCAGCAAGCACTTAACTTACTGGGCCATTGCCACAGCCCCTACTACTTTTGTTCCTTGTAGCTGATGCTGAACTGACTAAACGGTTTTGTCAAACTGGCAAGAATACGTGGTTTGTGCTGTGGGCTACCTGCCAGGGCTGATGTCGCTCTCCTCGTTTTTTTTTTTTTTTTTTTTTTTTTATCTTTTGTTGTTTGAGTGCGATGGAGCCCAGGTCACACCTCCAACTGTTCTGCCCCTGCCCCCCCCCCCCATTGATGTGCTTTTACTGTGGGCTGGCAGGTGACATCCAGACCCAGGTTATAGTGTCCCCAGCATTGCATCTAGTGGCTCCATCCATGGACAGCTACCCCTAGACCATTACATCACAGGAGCTTACAAAATGGTCACATTTCAGATTGTGTGTTCCTTCTAGCACTGATTGGATCAAATTTTCCCTCAATAATTAATAATAATAATTATAATAATGTGTTTTCCTTATTAGTTATGGCCACTTACTTATCTTGACGTGATTGCACAGGTGAGCCTGGGTTTAATTATTTTTTGTTCGTAATCATTAATTGCCAATTTTCTGAGAAAGGGCTGGTGTCCTAGTTCCAGCAGTAACCAATGATGGCATGTTCCCTGATCCCTGCAAATTCTCTTATTCAGCTCCCTACGACTTTAACATACCTACAAGATGTAGAGAGGACGTTGATGGGAGAGAATGAGGGGTTTCTTCTGTCTCCTTCAAGTCTCAGCACTGTGCTCTTTGTGGGTCCGTATTTGTGTGGGTTGCACGCATGACCCCCTTCTGGATTCATAATTTATCAGGATAGCTCATGGAGGGAAGAAAGGATGCACTCAAGGCCACTGTTTATTATAAAGCTTAGAAATGAAGCCAAATGTGATATACAGCATGGAAATCCAGGGAGGTGACTAACCCAGGCGCGCCTATCCCCACGGAGGTTTGATGCTACTACCTTCTTGATATATTGGGGATATTTATCAATGGGGGGTGGAGGCTCCTGAAGCCTCCTTCTCCGGAGGCCTTGGCGGGGTCTCAGCACTTAGGGGTGACTGGTTCCATTGCTGGCCATGAGGCTTGAACTCTCCTGTAGCCTCATCTCTTCCTTGCAGAGGGGGGGCTCGTCTCATATTCTGGCCCTCTAATTACTTGCCTGGGATTTCTGTTTGGGCAAGCCCCTCCCTTGAAACTCTCTCAGGGCCCACCCTGAGCCACCCCAGTAGCTTACATCCAGAGATGGATGAAGGAGTCACACAGAAGTAAACACCCTGGGGTGCTGTCGTTCTAGGATGAGAGGCGGCACAGGGGCCCAGAACGGCCCTCAGTTCTGGGAAAAAAGGTCCAACCTTTTGTGGGGATGCATGGGGCTAAGACCTTATGTATTAATGAAATGAAAGCCCTGGGGTGAGGGCCTGGGCAGCAGAGAAGGATAAGGACGACAGCTGTCAAGGCTAAGGCAGGAAGTGCCATCCATCCTTGGCATGTGTAAAGTGTTGATGGACTATGGATTATCCTCTGAGCCTAACTGCCACCATTTTCAGGAGTCCACCTGAGCCTGCTTATCAGAGAACACCGAGGCTGGGCCTGCTGACTGTTAATCTTCCCTCTTGGAAGGGGGGTGAGTGGGGAAGGTTAGGCTATTCTACCCTAATTACACGTGGTCACTGGGAGGGGTTAGAGGGTATAAAGGGAAAGAACAGGGGAAGGGTTTCCTTCTAGGCAGCCCTGGGAAGCCATCACTCATGGTGGGTGTGGACATTCCAGCGTGGCAGCTTTCAAATCACCCATGCTCCTGCCTGTGGTCCCTCACCCGAGGGCTGCGGTAAGCCCAATGAATGCCTTGGTTCCTCGGTGGGAATTTTGGTAGAACCACTCCTTGGTTTGTCCTGGGGACTTAGGAGGAGGGATACACGTTATTTACATTTCTCCAAGAGAAGGGATTTTAACAGCAGAGGTGGAGGGAGAGGGTTGGCTAGCTGCTAGGCAGGACCCGCTGCATCCACACAGGTGGGAAAGGCCTGTGGATGGAGGGAAGCATGGCAAAGATGCTGTGAAAGACTCAGAGCTAGCTGGGTCTGGAGGAAATGAAGGGCAAGGGAGCGGCTGAACTTCGGAGAAATGGCGTGAGTCCGGAGCTGAAGAGAGATGTGTAGAGAAGGGGACAGAAAAGACACACAGAACCAGAACACGGCATGCTGCATGGAGGCATGTTTCTCTGAAAGTCACTCGCACAGAGGGGTGTCCAAACTGTAAGACCCTGGGTTGGGGGTGGGGAGAAGATCTGAAGTCTTGATTTCAAGAACCATCTGGGAGTGCAGGAGAAAGAAGTGGGGGGGGGGGCATCCAGGGAGCACTGGGTCCAGGGAGCACTGGGTCCAGGGAGCACTGGGTCCAGGGAGCACTGGGGCCAGGGAGCACTGGGGCCAGGGAGCACTGGACCAGGCTCCCTTTTGTAACATGGGCTGCATCTTTAAATCAATTATCAGACAACTCTAGCAGCTTCTTCCAGCATTTTCATTCCAGACCTGGCTTCCAACTGGGGTAGACCTGAGCTCCACAGCTTCCTGGGGTCTGCACAACCTGGGGAGATGAAGAGAGGTGGGATGGGGGCTTAAAGGAGAGTGTGGTGATGCACGTCTTTAATTCCAGTATAGGCAGAGGGATCTCTGTGAGTTAGAGGCCAGCCCGGGCTACATAGTGAGCTCCAGGTCAGTCAGGGCTACATAGTAAGAACTTGTCTCCAGAGAAGAGTCTGGAAAACATATTTGGGAAACTGTGACCAGAGACACTTACACACAACACACTGACAGCTAGTATCAGCCTTGCTAAGGTGGGCTTGCAGGTGAAGGCAGGGACACACCCCTGAGGAATGGGGCTCACCTGGGACCAACTTTCTCTCACCAGAAGACACAACACAATGTCTCAGGTTCCAACCAGGAAACATCTAGAGGAGTCTGGGGACAGTGTTCAGCATCTTGCAATGCACAGCCCAGCCCTCTGGACTTGTCCCCAGATGTCAGCAGTGCCAAGAAGGGCCAGAAGGAAGAATTAAATGTGCCTGCCTGTGGCAGGGTAGTCTGAAGGGCTGTGCCTGGTGTGTCTTAGGTGGACGAGGAAGCTCTAACTCTTCAGAGAGACAACTTTACCCTCTGCTTGGTAGCCACTTTCAAACTTACAAGCGGCCATGTGACAATTCTAGGTTTTCAAAAGTGTGAGAATTTGTCGGTGAAGCTTTTAATCTAATCTACTTACTATGTGATGTGTCCTATTTTTTGTTTTTCTCCCTCTGTGTTACAATGCATGTATATACATGTTTGCATGTGTGTACACACATATGTCATTTGTATGCATGTGTCTACATGTATAAGGCCAAAGGATGCTGTGAGGACTCACCATCTATCTTTATTCTACCTATTTATTGAGGCAGGCTCTGGCAATCAAACCCAGAGCTAGCCGATGTAGTTAGCTTTGCTCTGGGGATTCGGTTGACTCAGCCTTCCAAGGTTGGAATCACAGGCAGGCTGCCACATCCACCCTGCATTTATGTGGGCTCTGGGGACCTGAACTCTGCTCAACCATTTCCCCAGATTCCCCCAGCCCCACCCCACCCTGCCTCAGGGTCTAGTCTCTCAGTTATCAGTCTTTTCTCCACCTTCCTGCTTGAGGAGGCTGCACTGTCCAGGCGCCCCCCCCCAGGGGTTCAGGGCTACATGTGCTAAAATCAACCGAAGAGGATAGTCCCAAAGGGTAAGTTCCAGAGAGAGTGGTGCCCCTACTTCTAGGGGACAACTGACAGTGTCTGCAGGCATTTTGGTTGGGCACATGAGTGGTGTTAGCATGAAGGCACCAACAGGGAACAAGGCACTGCCTAGACAAAAGACAGGGCAGGATAGCCTTGCTGCAAGATTGCTCCTGGAGAGACCAGTTTCCACTATGTCACCTGTCATTGGGTTTCTAGGTGCGTGGGGCAGGGGAGATGACTGACTGAACTCCTGGAGTCCACTTTTCAATTCTTTGGGGTGCTTAGTAATTCCAAATCACTACAGCAAGAAAGCCCTTTGACTGCGTTTGTGATGGACCACCCACTTTCTTCAGGGCACTCTTACTGGCACTTTCCATGGCTGTATACTTTGTTCCCGTTCCGAGTCAAAACAGGGGGAGGCTAGCCACTTCTTTGCTTCTTCGGCTAGTAGATGCCAACACCAGCGGTCCCCTCCTCCCACGTCGCCTGTGGGGTCCGCAGGATCCAGGATCACAGGCCTGAAAGAGGGTTAGAAACTTTGAAAGTGTTATTTTCAAGACCTCTGGCCTCAGCACTGGGGGCTGGCCCTATTTGTACCATTGGCACAATGTATCCTGCCAGCTTAGGTCAAGCGATTTGAATCTACTTAAGAGTCAAAGTAACTTCCTAGAATTGTGACATTTGAAAGCTGAAACCCCTTTTGAAGGTTATTTACCACGCACAGTGAACTGTAGTGATGACCTCCTTCCAGAGACTCTCACCCAACTATAAGGTGTCACCCTACAGGGTTGCTAAGTAGGTCAGCACTGGTGGGGGTTGGGGTGGAGAGAGAGAGAGAGAGAGAGAGAGAGAGAGAGAGAGAGAGAGAGAGAGAGTGTGTGTGTGTGTGTGTGTGTGTAGAGCACCTGTTCTTCATGCTCCTGTTTCTTTGGTCTTTTTTTTCTTTCCCCCGGTCTTTCTTCTCCCGCCTTTGTTCCCTGCTTGTAGTATTGAGTATATACTCTAAGGAACCCTCCCCCTTACGTAATGTTTTTGAGACAAGATCTTGCTACATAGACAAGGCTATCCTTTAATTCAAGATCTTGTTATGTAGACAAGGCTATCCTCTAAAATAGCCTTGAGATCCTCCTGGCTGGGCAGTGGAGGCACATGCCTTTAATTCCAGCACTCTGGAGGCAAGAGGCAGTCAAATCTCTGAATTCGAGACCAGCCTGATCTATATAGTGAGTTCTACAGGCTATGTAGAGAGAAACCATGTCTCAAAAAAAACCTATAAATAAAATAAAGTATCTTCCAGCTTTCAACCTCTGCAGTGCTGGGACTGCGGCAGGTACCGCCCTGTCTGGCTTCCTTACTATTCTTTTAGTTCTGAAAGAGAAAACCAGATCTGATAAAGATGCTAATAATAGGGGCTGGATAATGGGTAAAGGGAGCTTGCTGCTAAGTCTGACAACCTGAGTTTGATCTCTTGGGCCCAACGCTATTTCTCAGGGACATCCTGTCACCTCAGACCCCTTTCAGATCAGCTAGCGCACACATTTCACATTTCCATGTAACAGAACAATTAGAAAGTAGTGCAGGCATCCTCTGCCTGCCCCAGCTTCTGCATCCTTCCTGGTTGGCCAGCCCCTCCCACTCCTGGTTGGCAAACCCCTCCCTCTTCTGATTGGCAACTCCCTCCCCCTTCTGATTGGTAAGTCCCTCCCACTCCCGAGGTTGGGTTTTCTCCCTGTCAGCTTCTCCCTCAGTTTCACGCTGGGAAAGACCCCGGGGGAGATGAATCCAGGTCAAGGAAGAAATAGCACAGAAGGGAATCGGGTTAATTCAGAACAGGGTGGGAGGCTGGAGCACAGGCACCTCTTTTTCTGGATCTGGGTCAGTAGGAACGTCCTCAGCGGCTCATCTTCGAAGTTGTAGTTGACGGTCCAGAAGATGCAGAGCTGCTGGTATTTGATGACCAGGTCCAGGACCGTCCGGAAGCCTTCAGCAGTGTTGAAGTCCTCCATGCGGCTCTCCTGCTCCCAGGCATACACGCTGAGAAGCTCCAGGGCGTACTTTGGGGGCAAAGATGCTTTTGACTTCATTTTCCTTTCACACTGACGGGGAGAATAGAGATGTCAGGTGACTTTGGCGAGGCAAGAAGGAGGGGGCAGTGTGTCTTGGGACACAGCAGGGCAACAGGGTTATGAACTAGAACCTGAAAGAAGGAGATCCCGAGTCCCAGGTAGGCTTGCTAGACTCAGCAACAGGCAGAGTGGTCCACACTGTGCTGCAGTGTGTTTGAACAACAATTTAACCACTGGCTGATTGGGGGTGGGGCTTGAGGGAGTCACGTGATTTGCTGAACCTCAAACCAGAGTTCGCCAGCCCCCTAGGCCTCAGCTACCCATGACGCCAGTTCCAGCCACAGCTTCATCTTCATCTGAGAGACAATATGATGTCTGTACAGCTGTACCGACAACCCGAGCCACACAACCTTAACTTGCATCCATGCTTCTCAGGAAATCTTGGCTGCTGCTGAATTCTTTGATCAGCGTGAGAATAAGCCACACATTGCTCTGATGCTAGGAGAGCCTATAGGCCTGATTCATACATCATGAGTAGATGAAAGCAATCAGAAGACCCATGACTTCATGGGCAGCAGCTTCCCTAAAGAGGCCCAGCCTAGCATGGGAGGATTTGGATGTTCAGGACACTTGGCAAAGTCTGTGTCCTGGCTTGCTGATAAAAAACAACCACATTGGCCGTAGGAGCTAACTGACCTGTTTATACCAGTGTTTCACCAAGCGAATCAGACTCTTCAGCTTGGTGGGCAGGCGTTCAATAAAGTCCCGTTGTAGCTCTGTAAAACAGGGTGAAAACTCTCCTCCAAGGATGTCTGATGATCTGTACAACTCAATGAGCTCCTTGTAGGCTTTGGGCCTGGAGGTGAAGCCAGAATGCAGTTGACCTAACATGGGAGCAAAATGTGTATGGTAAACAACAGAGCGGAAAGACTTTTTTTTTTTTTTTTTTTTTTTTTGAGACAGGATTTCATGTAGCCCAGGTTGGCCTGAACTTGCCATGTAGCCAAAGATGATCTTGCATTTCTGATCCTACTGCCTCCACCTTTCAAGTGCTGAGATTATAGGTGTATACCATCATGCCCAGTTCGTGCACTACAGGGGTTTGAACCTAGGTCTTGGGCATGCCAGGCAAACTCTCTACCAATGAATCTATGTCTACAGACCTCAAAACTGTGGTTTTTCAAAAACTTTACTAGTTATCCATTTATATTTGGTTTTTCGAGATAGGGTTTCTCTGTGTAATGGCCTTGACTGTCCTGGAACTCACTCTGTAGACCAGGCTGGCCTCGAACTCACAGAGATCCGCCAGCCTCTGTCTCCCAAGTGCTGGGATTAAAGGTGTGCAACACTACTGCCTGGCTCAAAAACTTTATTTGTAAGGGTGTGGTGTGTTCACACACATGTAAATGTCAGTGACTGTGGGAGCCAGAAGAGGGAACCAGGTCCCCTGGAGCTGGAGTTGCAGGGTGTGAGCCACCAGACTCTAGTGCTAGGAGTCAAACTTGGGTCCTCTGAAAAAGCAGCAAGCCACCCTTAGCCACTCAATCCATCCTATTTTTTTTTTTTTTTTGACAAATATAATTTCATTCTGGGGGGGGGGAATGTCCGCCGATCCACGTACATATATTTGAATTACTGATGGCTATCTGAGATGCAGACAGAGTGACTTCCTGGTCTAGTGGGCACAAGTGGTTTTGCTTAGCGCACCCCCCTTCTCCTGTGGTTCCCACTAGGACAGCCACCAGCTACTGTGGCTGATTACATTTGAGATGAGAGTCCAGCTCTTTGGTGGCTCCGGCCACATTTCAAGCTCTCAGTGGATGCAGACCACAGGTCTAGATGTCTGTCACTGTTGGAGAAAGACCTTTTGGTTAATTCTGAGCTCAGGCTTGCACACTGCTGTCACTGAGGTATCTTTAGCCCCCCCTCTCATTTTTGTAAATACTGTTTTAGTGGACACAGTTGCCCCTGTTTGTGAACCTATCATGGGCGGTGCTATCCCCGGGCAGGAGGTCTTGAGTTGCTTTAAATAGCAGGCTGAGCAATGGAGGGGAAGCAAGCCAATAAGCAGTGTTCCTCCGTGGTGGCTCGTGCTTTAGCTCCTGTCTCCAGGTTCCAGCCCTGACTTCTCTCCATGGTGAACACAACTGTAAGATGAACTAAACCCTTTCCTTCCCAAGTTGACTCGGTCAGTGTTTTGTTGTTTGTTTGTTTGTTTTTTGAGACAGGATTTCTCTGTGTGTAGCCCTGGCTGTTCTGGATCTGTATAGACCAGGCTGGCCTCCAACTCACAGAGATCTGCCTACCTCTGCCTCGTTAGTGCTGGGATTATAGGCCTGCACCACCACCCAGCTAGACCAGTGTTTTATTACAGCAACAGAAGATAAACTAGAACAGCCACCCTTTCAAAAGCAAACAAACAAACAAAAGTGAGCTGAATTTCATTCTATATACTCCTGTCTCTTCTGAAATTGAAACAAGGTGTATGGTTTTTTTTTTTAAATTTTTGTTTTATTATTTTTTTTCCAGTGTGTGTGGGGGGGAGGACTGTGTCCAACCTAGGGTCCTGAACATTCTAGGTCAGTACTCTGCCACTGAGCTTTAGCCCCTCCCAGGTCCAGCCCCAAATAATGGGTAAGAGTTTTATTTGCTTTACCTTGTGGTGGTGACATTGAACGCAGAGCCTTGCACATGCTAAGCAAAGGTTTTATCCCTGATTACACCTGGTCCCCAAGAGATAACAGAGTCTTTATAATTCTAATATAGGAAACACACACACACACACACACATACACACACACACAGAAGCTTGGTCTCTCTCTCTCTCTCTCTCTCTCTCTGTGTGTGTGTGTGTGTGTGTGTGTGTGTGTGGATACAGACAGAGAACAGCCTTGAGTCAATCAGCCAGCCCATTATAGGTAGCACCATTCCCTTGACACGTGTCCTGGGCTGAATAAGAAAGCTAGCAGCATTCCCCCACGGTTTCTGCCTTGAGTTTCTGCCCCGACACTTCCTTCCATGATGGACTGAGATCTGGAAGCATAAGCCAAACAAACCCTTTTCCCCTCTAAGTTGCTTTGTGAGTGTGGCTACATATGCTTATCTTTGCACATTCACACAAGGCCTGAGGGGATGCTGGGTGTCCTGCTGTATCATCTTTCATCCTATCCTACGGTCACAGGGTCTCCCACTGAACCTGTCTGATTCAGCTAGACCCACACTCCCTCCCCAGGCAGCACTGGGGTAACAGGTGTGTCTGCAGCACAGCCTGCCCTCTACACAGGTGCTGGAGATAAAATTCAGGCCCCTGAGACTGAATGGCAAACACTCTTACAACACAGCCATCTCCTCAGCCTACTTTGAGGCCTTTCGTTCATCTGTATTTCTGTATCTCTCACCCGTGAATGGGGTTTCTGAGGAGAAGTTTTCTACACCCAATCTCCTGTCTCTTATCTCACAAACCCCCTGCCCCATGCTCTGTTCATTAATTCCCTTCTCCACAGAGGGAATAAAGGCATGTTATCTATGATATGCATATAACTATATACGCCATCCCTGATGCACCATGGAGAACAGAGCAGACAGACAGCTCCTATAGGCACTCTGGACTGCTTACCTGAGAATGGAATTGCATGTAGGTGTCTGGGAGAATATTACAGCCCATCCCCCCGACCCCCCCCCCATCAGAAGCTAAGGCCTGTGGACTCTTACCCAGTGCGTCATAGGCTGGCAGGACATCAAATTCGACACTCTCATTCAGACTGGATTTCAAGGTGAAGCTCAGCACCCTGGGGGCCTTCCACTTGGAAATCTCAAACTTCACCTCCAGATTTTGGGTCTGCTGGAAGACTTCTAATTGCCTCCGGATCTCCTGGACAAACTGTGAGCGCTCCTGTTTTTGGGAGTCATAACTCTTGAGTGAGCTGAGGAACACGACGATGTCAGCATCCGACCCATACTTCAGAGCTGTGCCTTTGGCGGTGGAGCCTCCCTAGGGAGCAAAGAGAAGGTGAGGTGCTGCCTTCCTTCACCCTTGTCTCTCCAGCTCGCAAGAGCTGGCGAAGGACCAGCGCTCACCCACCTTGACAGGCTTCAGAACTTTAGTTCTCGAATTCCGGAAGCAGTTCTCTTTAAGGAATGTACAGATGGTGTCAACAGCTCTTTTGATCTGCTCCAAGAACTTTTTATTGGGCTGGAGGAAGTCAAGAATGAACTTGTCCAGTAAGTGGCTTGGGGTGATGAAGAGTGGTGTGGGCTGGGGAGGAGAAAAACTTGGTGGGCTCTCCCAGAAGCCAACACAAAACTCACCTCTGACCTTTGCCAACCTGCTTTCAACCGGGGGCAGAGACCTTCCTGTCAGAGGCCTTCCTGCCTTGCACAGATCTACTCTAAACATGTTCTGGAGATGCTGGGCAATACCTACTCCCTGCCCTGGGCCACCAAGCAGAAACTCCTGGTTTCTCACGGGCTACTTGGGAGAGACTTGGATCTTTGGGTTTGGTGGGGGGATGCACACATGGGAGGTACCCTGGGCCAGCATGAGGAGATGCCCAAGGACCTTCCAAGAGGAAGGTGTGAGGGTCAAACTTGAATGGGGTGTAAGCTCAAAGGCAGAGAGGAGGGTGTTTGGACTTTGAAGACGACACATGGATACCCTCAAGAAGCTTGAAAAGGTAACGAGGCCTCAGGTGTCGAAGGTCCAGTTCTACAAGCCTGCATTAGATTGCCCGCTGCTTTAACCATATGTTTATAGATTTAGGGTACACTTTTGAAACAGCGGGGAGGGAAGAAGACAAGTCTAAGTAGATAAGTTTCCTGGAGAGCATTGGCAGAGATCAGTGCAGCCACCTGGGGACAAGAGGGGATGCCTAGCCATGCAGTCCAGCTGGTCTTGGTGCTCTTAGATGTTGTGAACTTTAGCATCCCCTTCACAGCGGCAGCATCCTTAGTCCTTCCACTCTTACAGCTCAGATGGTGTATAAGGTGGGCATATGCACATGAGTGTACATGTGTCATGTGGACGTGTGACAGGTAGTGTATGCAAGTTTACACACTGGAATGCACGCACATGCAAGGCTGTACATGAATATTCAAGAGTGCTCTGTTTGCATGTGTGAGTGTGCACTGAGTGCACACACGAGTGCGCATGCAAATGTGAGCGTATGCAGCCATGAATGCCTAAGTGTGCTCACAAGTGTCAGCATTAGGCCTGCACTATGAGAGTGTGAGGCTCCAGGTACAAAGATGAGTGTTTACATGTGACTGTGCATGTTTTCACATGAGTATGTCATACATGTGTATATGCTTGAAATGCTCATTCCTGCTTGTGTGTTGGTTCTTGGACCTGGACTGAAGCAGCTGTGAAGAGAGGTCTGGAAGGACAGGCCAGTGTAAAAGTAGCACAGAGATCAGAAAGTGTGGTAGGAACTAGAGAGTGGCTCATCAGTTAAGTGCACTGTCTGCTCTGTCAGAGGACCCAGACTCAATTTCCAGCATCCAACTCACAGCTGTCTGTAACTCCAGTTCCAGTTCCAGGGAATCTGACACCCTTTGCTGGCCTCTGTGGATATTATACACATGTGGCATAATATACGTTGAGACAAAGATATATATATATATATGTATATGTATATATATACACACACATACATATATACACACACACACACACACACGTGTGTATGTGTGTGTGTGTGTGTGTGAGAGAGAGAGAGAGAGAGAGAGAGATGGTTTCTCTGTGTAACCATCCTGGCTGTCCTGGAATTCATAGAAATCCTCTTGTCTCTACCTCCTGAATGCTGGGATTAAAGGTTGTGCCATCATTGCCCAACGTAAAAAAATTTTTTTTAAAAGGTGGTATAGGAGAGACATGAGAGATGAACATATCATGTGTTAGAAAGGGGGACCTAGAGGGACCTTGGGATGGTTGTCAGAATATGAAAATGGTGTGTTTTCAAGCCACACAAAGTGTGGAACCATGTTTCAGTAGTCACACAGGCAGTTAAGACATATTCTCTCAGGTCAGTGTCCTGAGCTTGCTCCCTCTAGCATGGAGACTCTCTTACCAGAACATCCCAACACCGTGCAGGTGACATGTCCTTCTGCCTGAGAGAATACAGCCAGGCCTCAGCCTCTTCTGCCAGCATCTGCCAGGACCCATCATCATCTTTGCCCACGATATTGGTTGGGTCAGTTGGATCCAAGATGACAGGTCTAGGAATTTTATCAGAAATCATGGCTGGGCTTTTTAGCACTTATCATTAATCTCAGTACTCGGGAGACAGAAGCAGGTGGATCTCTGTGAATTCAAGGTCAGCCTAGTCTACATAGTGAGTTCCAGACCAGCCAGGGCTGTACAGTGAGATCCTGTCCCCTGCTCCCACCCACCCCAATGAAAAAAGCAGGCATGGGCAGATAGCTTAGAAACTAAGAGTGCTTATAAGTGCTAAGTTATAAGAACCAGAGCTTGGGCCCCACATAACAACATGGGTGTCCTAAATATGATTTCAACCTTAGCTCTGAGGGGATAGAGATGGGGATCTCTGGGCCTTGCTGGCTTCCAACCTAGTTGAGAAAGCCAGAGCCCAGATTGAAGAAGAGACCCTGCCTCAGAAAAATAGATGGACACCCCACAAACTCTTCTGGCCTCTATGTGCAAAGAGGTACACACTCACACAGACACACAAACTTTAATAAAAAAGAAGTTGGGCTGGGGAATGGGTCAGTGGGTAAAATGCCTGCCTCACAAACAGTCCCCGAGTTGGGGACCCCCAAGACTCATATAAAACCAGATGCTGGTGTGTTTGTAATCCCAGCTCTGAGGAGGCAGAGGCTGGGTCCTGAGGCTCTTGGCCAGCCAGTCTAGTCTACTGGTGAACATCAGTGAGAGACCCTGACTCAACAAATAAGGTAGAAGGACTGGGATTAAGAGCACTGGTACTCTTGCAGAGGACCTGGGTTCAAGTCCCAGCACCCACAACCGTCTGTAACTACAGTCAGATGCCCTCTCCTGGCCTTCACAGGCACTGCATGCATATGGTTCACAGACAAACAGGGAAAGCACTCATAAGCATAAAATAAATGAATCTTTAAAAATAAAGCAGATGCCAACTTATGGCTTCCACGTGCATCTGTACACACATACATGAATACACACGTATGGGAGACGCTGCTGAGGGTTCTGTGGTACCCAACCACACTGACTCCTCATCCCCTTCAGTTCTCAGAAATGTCAGATTTCACAGTTCTTTGCTGTGAACTCCTTCCCTTCCTCCAGCCCCTTCTTCCAGGCTTTGGGGGATAAAGCTGACCATGGTTTGGGATATGGGGTGAATGCATTGACTGAATCTCCTTTGTAGATTCAGATCTCCCCCTCCCCCCCCAGGCCCTCAGGTCTGTCCCCACACCCCACACTGTCAGCAAGGGCCCAGAACTTGATCTCGGTGGGGCCCTGGCCTACAGATTGGAAGCTGGGTACCTTTTGGTCCTGAGTTGGCACAGAAGGGTGTTGCGGACTGTCTCATTCTCAAAGTTGTAATTGACTGTCCAGTAGACACACAGCTTTGACGACTGCTTAATGAGTCCCAGCACAGTTCCGACACCTTCTGCGATGTCGAAGTCCTCAGTGTGGCAGCCCTGTTCCCAGGCGTACACAGTGAGCAGCTCCAGCGCATACAGCATCTGCAGAGACGGGGATGTCTTCCTCTCTTTCTGGCACTGTGAGAGAAGACAAAACCATCGGGAAGCCAGAGCCTAGAAGATGTCACCATACCCCATGCCTGGAAGTCAAGGCGTCAGCGCCAAATGCCTGGAACACTCACGCTGCTCACAGGGGTGTGCCTGTGAGTGTGTGTGAGCATGTGTGTGTGTGTGTGTGTGTGAATGAGTGGGTGTGTGAGTATGTATGATTGTGAGTGTGGATGTCTGTAAGTGTGTGAATGTGTGTGTGAGTGTGGGTGTACATGAATGTGTTGATGTGAAAGTATGTGCGTTGTGTGAGTGAATGTGTGAGTGCAGAAGTGTGCGTGTGTGGGTGTGGAGGTGTATGTCAGTGTGTGAATATGTGTGTGTGTGCATGTCTGCGTGAGTGTAAGTTGTATTTGTGAATGTGTGTGTTAGTAGGTCAGAGGTCGAGGTCAGGTATATCCCTCAGTCGCTCTCTAGCTTATTTTTTGGCCTCTCACCGAACCTGGGGCTCACTGATTGGCTGCAGTGGCTGGCCAGTGAGAGCAGGAGATTGCCTCCTGAACACGGAGTTACACACACAGGCTGCCACTCCTGCTTTACCCGGGTAGTGGGGATCTTCTGTGCTTGCACAGTATGTACCTTCCTACTGAGCCTTCTCTTCAGGCCCAGTACAGTGGCTTTGAAAATCCATTTGGCACTCTTTATTAAAGCTAAATAAATACTCTTCACTATATTTCATATGGAGTACACTTATGCAAATATAGACACACACACTATATATATATACATATACATATACACATACATACATACATACAGTCTGGGGCTGTGTCTGAGACTCCAAGAGTCTACTGCATAATTACCCAAGAAAATGAGGGCTTAAGTACACGGAAACACATCAGAGGACACCCAAGTAACAGTAACCCAAGTCACAGAGGCTACAACTTGGAAATGACCTATGGGCCCAAAAGCAGCAGAGAGATAAAAACATGGGCATGTTACTATAGTGGAATAGTACACAGGAATGAAAAACCATCGCTATGTAATGATGTGGCTGGATTTCTTGAACATGGAGTTAAATAAGGAAGCTACCACCTGTGTGCAATATGATCCATTTATAGCATTTGAAAATAAGGGAGGGCTGGCAAGAGGGCTCACCGAGGAAAGGTGCTTGCCACAAAACTTGTTGAATTGAGTTCAATCCCCACGACCCACATAGTGGAAGGAGAAAACCCACTCCTGTATGTTGTCCTCTGACTGCCACAATACACTATGGCACATTCACACACACAAACACACACACATACATACACACACGCACACTCTCACACATACACAAGTGTGTACAAATCACATTCTTTTAAATAAGATCCATTAGTTGTGATGGTTATTGCAATTTAAAAATTATTCAAAAATTTTTTATTACTTATATGTATAAGTGTTTTGTTTGCATGTTTGTCTGTATACCATATGCATGCCTGGTGTCTACAGTGGCCAGAAGAAGGCATTGGATACCCTAGGATTGGAGTGATAGATGGGTGTGAGCTTCCTTGTGGGTGCTGGGGAATGGAACCCAGGTCCTCTAGAAGAGTAGATGATGCTCTCTTAACCATGGAGATATCTCTTCAATTCCTTAATATTTTTAATTATATGTGTCTGTGTTATGATTTGGGTACCTGCATAGGCTGGAGGTGTTAGATCCCCCTGGAGTTATAGTTAAAGCTGGTTGTGGGATGCCTGAAGTGGGTGCTGGGAATTGAACTGGTGTCCTTTGGAAGAGCAATATGTGCTCTTAACCTCTGAGCTGTCTCATCAGCCTCAGGATTTCTTTTATAAAAAAGGTCTTGCTATGTATTTGAGGTTAACCTTAAACTCTAGATCCCCTCACCCACACTTCTTGAGTGCTGGGGTTACAGTTATGCAACCACCATGTCCTTGGGCTGAGAAAATACTCTATTTTGGTTTGTGGCTGAAGAGGAGATCAAATTAGATGGAAGTATGTTATTATTGTTGAAATTTACTTGCTGTGAATGATCTCAAAAAAAAAAAAAAAGGTAAATCAGTAGGGTGTGGTGGCATGTGGCTTTGGTCCCAGCACTTGAGAGGCAGAGGCAGCCTGTGAGTTTGAGGTCAGCCTGGTCTACATAGTTCCAGGCCAGCTGGAGACCCTCATCAAACAAGGCAACAACACAAATTACCTCTTGATACCAGTGCTTGACCAGCAGGATCAAATCCCTCACTCTCCTGGGATATTTCTTGAAGAACTGCTCCTGTAGTGGTGTGAAGCAGACTGCAAACTCACTGGGCACTACTTTTGCTTGATCCATGAACCTTCTGAGATTCCGATAGACCTCGGAGCTGGGATTCTCATGGGAGCCTGACGGGAGAGATCAGTGGGAGGCTCGGCCATGATGGTGGCCTGAGTCAGCTGGAGTTGGGGAGCTCTTCTATTGCCTGTTCTTCAAGAAGGCAGCTGGCTCTTTGGGAAAGCTAACAGTGGGGGTGATCTCTGATAATAAAGGCTAAACAGGAAGCCTCTCATGAGGGCAGGAGGGGTAGACCCAAGACAGGATCAGTGGAGCCATCCGGAGCACGAGATGGTAAATTACACATGAGAAATAGGTGCCCCAGAGTAATACCCCACACCTGGAGTACAGCTGTGCCACACAGTGTCTTCCACCAATCCCTCTTACGGAGACTCAGGGACACCTCGAGGTGGCGGGAGTGGGAAGAACGGAGGCGTATTGAACCAGTTAGTTTCCATTCTTGCCTGCTGAACTCCGCTATTCACAAATATAATAAGGTACACAGCCGTGGGCAAGCAGCCACACGGATTCGCCAGCAAGGGCCTGGGCACACGCCCTTAACATTTATTGAGTGCCGACTGTATACCAGGCACAGTTGGAGCCTTTTATGCAGTGATGTAAGATGAAAGTCTTATAAACCTCTTATGGAGCACAACTACCACAGTTAATTATCTTAGAGAGAAACACCCTGAAGTCAAATAAGCTGGATCCAGTTTGGGGTTAAAGGTCCTGGGGAAAGAAACCATGGCAACAGCAGCCTATCTGACCTGGTAGAGACAGGTAGGTAGACAAGATTAGTTGGGCTTTTGTATAGTAAAGGGAGCGATTTATGAATCCCCCTTGTAGGGTCTTATTTTCTCAGAAAGGCAACATTTATTGCTTCCTTGTAATTAAAAAAAAAGTCTTTAATTCGGAAGATTCAGCTCTCTAGCCACCTGTTGGCAGCACTTGGGAACTACATGTGAAGAGTTCCTTTCTCTGGATGCCTTTCTCTACTGGGCTAAGGCAGCAGAGGGTGGGCTGGTCTCCCATTACCAGTTCCTGGGCACCAGAAGAGAGAACCCAGAATTTCCTGCAGCAGTGGGGCCTCACATCTCCCTCTCACCACTGACTCCCGTCCTTTGATGCAGGCACACCACCACAACCAAACAAAGCTGGAAGCTAATTGCTCTGATCTTAGAGTTGGTGACAAAGGGACCCATGGGGTCATGTATCAGTTACTTTTCTGTCTGCTGGGATGGGACATCTGATGGAAGCCACCAAAGGGGGAAGGCTTTCTTTTGGCTCACTGTTTGAGGGCACAGATTTCCGTGCCAGGGAGCATGATGCTGAATACTCCCTCCTTGGACCAGGAAACAGATCGCAAGCAGGATTAGAGACAGAGTGGGGTTACCACCCTCCAGGCTCACTTCCCAGCCACCCACTTCCTCTGGCAAGGACCACTCTCCTACAGGTTCACACTCTCCCAAATCAGCACCATCAGCTGGGGACCAAGTGTGCAAACATATTTCACCTTCAAACCCTAACAGATGAGAAGGACCCACACGTGGGCGGCACATTCTCCAACCCAGGCCACCTTCCTGAGAATGCTGTCATGTGGGTATGCATACATCTCCATCTCGTTAGAAAATGATCAGGTGGTGGGTATTTAAGGTCCCGGTAACCCAGAAGTTCCTCAGAATTGTGGCCAATGGAGGAGGCACCTTAGCCTCCAGCTTAGAAGTCCTGGGCTGTCAGACACATTGAGTCCACCATAGGTAGCACTGGCCACCACACATTCCTGTCTTTCTGTTTTCCCTTCCATCTATCTGTCCATCCATCCACCCGTCTTTACAACCTCACTTCCATCCATCCACCTAGACATATATCCACGTATCAGTTCATTTTCCATCTGTCCACATGTCCATCCATCCACACACGTTCATCCATCCACACATGCATCAATCTATTTTTCCATCTGTCCACACATCCTCACATCCATCCACCCATCCATCCATCTCTACATACATCCACATATCCATCCATGCATCCTCACAAACATACATAGCTCTCCCACACCCATCCATCTATCCATTCCTACATTTAGTGAGCGCCCAGCCATCCGCTTCCATCCGCCAGTTCACTTTCTTTCTTGCCATTTATCCATCCACCCTTCATCTGTCCATCCCCATGCCCACCTATCAAAGCTCCACTTTAAAGTCAAGAGTCTAGAACACTTTATCCAAAGTAAATGAGATGAGAATGAAGTTCTAGATAGAGTATGCCCAGGGTAGGGGGCTCTTCTCTCCTGGGGGTTTTGGTGGTGAGCTCCAGAGGCTCATATGTTTTTGCACGCTCAGTCCCCAGTTGAATTGTTTGGGAAGGATTAGGGGAGGTGTGTCCTTGTCAGAGGACATCCTTGTTGCTGGGGATGGGCTTTGAGGTTTCAAAAGCTCACACCAGGCCCAGTGACTCTCTCTCTTCCTGCTGCCTATGGATCAGGATATAAAACGCTCAGCTATTGCTCCTGTGCCATGCCTGTCTGCTTCCCACCATGATGATAAGGGACTAACCCTCCCAGGCTGTAAGCAAGCACCAATTAGATGCCTCCTTTTATAAGAGCTGTTGCCTTGGTCATGATGTCTCTTCACAGCAAAGGAACAGTGACTAAGGCAGGAGTTTATGAGCCCCATTTTGGAAATAGCCAGTCAGTCACAGCCTCAGCCTGTAGGACTCAAGTGGCTCCCTGGTACTCCCGGAAAGTTTGGGGACCTCCCCTCCAACCCGGAGCACTCACATAGAGGATCAAAGGCTGGAAGTAGCTTCAAGAGTATCTCCTGCCCTTGTACGGACAGTTGGACTTCAAGGATGTTCCCAAGGTTTTTTAGCTTATTGTATTTCTCATGTTGTTTTAGCCGTTGTTCAATAAAGTAGACGAATTGATGTTGGTTTTCCTTCTGATCCCCAAATGTACGGAAGCCGCTGATGAACAGAACAAGGGTGCCATCAAAGTAGCCTCTTAGGACTGTTCCTCGGCCATAGGACCCACCCTGCAGGGAATGAAGCAGCAGATGTGAGGGCTGGAATTTTTGTAGCTCCAGGCAAGGATATTTCTCAAGTTGAGTGAAATCCCCAAATGTCACCATCATTTTAAAATCAGGTTGCCGGCAATAATTTGCGTAGGGGTCAACGTTTTTGTACGCTAGCTCCAAACTGGAGACAACTCAAAGCCGCAATATGATAAATACATGACACAGTGAAGTACTATAGAAGAATAAAGAAAACAAAACGGTTGCACGAACGAGACTCACAAACGTGGAGTCGAAGATGCCGCACAGCGAAGTGTGCACGCGCACGCGCATAGGACCAGTCCCCACTAATTTACTGAGCACCGATGCTAAGAACCCTGTGTGCCTCGCTGTTACAACACTCTGAAGAGGGGGTCTGGGCTGAGCTCATTCTGCAAACGCAGACACTGTGGTACAGAGAGATGAAGCAGCTGGCCAGAGTCGTGTGGCCAGGCAGAAAGAAGGTGACCTGGCTGTAGCTCGTACCCTTGCACTGTCTGCCTTTGTGTCCTCAGAGGGAGAAAAGCCTTGTGAAGTGCAGTCCTCATTGCCTGGTATGGAGCAGTGCCGGGTGCAGGATTGATGGGGGGGGGGGGGGTTAGCGATGCAATGCCCTAGCCCCAACCAAACCTGGACCTCACCTTAGCCACTCTCACCACAGGGATCTCAGAGTTCCTCAGGAAGTTAGAGATGGCATCTACGTCCTGGTCTATCAGCTTCAGACATTCTTCGTTGGGTGTGAGGTTTACCTGGATAAAGTCTTCTAGCTTGTGCGCTGGCACTGAGGTTACTGAGGTTAAGTCAAACAACTCACCAGATAACCCTTCAGATGACCCCCCAGCCAACCAGTTTCCCATAGTTGCTAGCTGGCCTGAGGGAGACAGTACACAGCAAAAGCAGGGCACTGTTGCTCAGGTCCTGGGGATTCTGCCCTGACCTGGATAGAGGAAGTTGAGTCTAAATTGCTGCCCCGCCCCTATCACAGCCTCGCCTAGGAAATCGAAACTCAAGTGTCAGGAGTCACTGCCCAGCAGCTGCAGGGGAGCTTCCTGCTGGCCAGCCACTCCTCAGCGGCCAGATATGTGTGTCCTTCAGTGAAGGCAGGGGTTAAATGAGTTCACCAGCCCAAGATAAAGGTAAATAGGTGTTTTACTGGGGAAACAACTTACACAGATAAGAGTAAACCACCACACCTTTCTGCTTCAGAAGATGCAGTCTCTGCCCTTCAGATGCTCTCTGTGACCCAAGAGAGTGTGCTCACCTCTCTGCACCTGAAACCATGCCCAAAGATTGTGGCCACTGGCAAGGCGAGATGCCACTACACATCAGTGCAGGACTGACTTCTTGGTCTCTCTATCTCCTCTGTCTGTAGATCAGAGGAGCCTGTCTGGCTCACTAAATGCTAAGTTAATTTGGTTTTATAGAGAGTGGAGGCTGTCCATGGAAACTGGACCTTTCCTTCTGTTTCCAGTGGCTGGGGGCACTCAGTGCCAGGCTGAGCAGTAGAGAAAAAGCCCAGAGAGGGGACTCACATGCTCAAAGACACACAGCAAGACAGGTGTCCTGGTAGATGTAGGCTTACTTTCTTCCTTTGGGTGAACACAGCACCCTGAGGAGTAGCTTACACACACACACACACACACACACACAGTAATTTAAAAATCAAATTAAAAACAAGGGAATTTTGCCAATTAAATACTATTATTTTGTGTGAGCTTTGAGACAGAGCCTTTCTATGTAGCCCAAACTGGCCTTGAACAGGTAATCCCCCTGCCTCAGCCTCTCATAGACTATTATTTGTAGCATCTTCCTTCAAGGTAGGGTGAGGCATTGCGTTTAGCTGTCCTATGTTGCAGATGGTTTCCTGGGAAGCTCACTGGGAAAGGCACAGTGACTTTGTATTCTTGAGTCCCTCCAGAGTCCAACTGGCTCCGTATAGGAACCCTGAAAGCAGAAGGACTCTTAAATTCCTTTAAGTGAGCCAAGGACAGAAAGTGACCGCAGGGGACACTAGCAGCTCTCAGGGACCTTGCCTCAGCTTCCTGAGTGCTGGGTTCCATGGAAAAATAGGTGTCCGCTGGTCACATTTGTCTAGAGCAATGTTTCTCAAGCTGTGGGTTTCCACCCCTAGGGGGCCAAACACCCCTTTGACAAGGGTCGCCTAAGAGGATCGCACAGCACATATTTCCAGTGGTCTTAGGAGTAGAGACACTTTCTTCTGTCCATCTCCAGGTGGGCCTGCCCACATGCCGAATGCCCACATACGAGTACCTGGAACTGTATTAAAGGGTCGAAGCATTCTGAAGGCTGAGAACCACCAGTCTAGAGCTCTGAGAATGATGGTGACCAGTAGCCATCAAGAGACATAATTTGGGGTCAGGTTTTTATCCTCAGTAAGTTGGCTAGGTGAGATAAAGTTGGGACCAACCCCAATGGGCTTTCCTGGATGGTGACAGAGGGGAACTTGGGGACCCTTGACCCCTCATCCAGGCTGGTCGCTTTGGGCTAAGCTAAGGGAATGGATTGCAAGGATGAAAGAATTGGGAAGGTGCTGTCCTCCTGGGTATCCTGCATCCCTGCATCCCCAGCTGTGGTTCAGGGAGAGCCAGGCTGTCTGAGACACTCCCAGTGGGGGATTGGCAAGTGCAGATTCCTTCCTCTGTTTCTCGTTCCTCTCCTAAGGAAGGCTCACTACCATGTCCACCCCTTAGGTGGTCTCTCTGGAGGGCCCTACTGTGGCCCTCCCCCAGCATCTGCCACTTGCTTCCTGTGTGCAGGTCTGGGACATTCCTAGGCTGTCTCTCTGCCCTCCACCCCCTGACCCCTAGCTGTCACTTAGACTCTGCTAGGAGACTGGAGGCATGTTCCCATGTAAGACGGGTAGGTAGATATTCATCTTGGAGACAGCCTGGTATCACCCTAGCCCTGGCGGGGATCAGGGAGAGAGGGACAAACGCCGTCCATCCATAGTTCACCCACAGTGTGGCGAAGGTGAAGATTCTTTCTAGAACATAGGTTTATGGGTCAGGGGCTTGCAACCCCATCCCTTCCTGCCGGCATCAGGACTCCTGCTTCCGTTGTGTTTGAGAAGAGCAGACAACAGGAAGCAGGGTGATATGGCACGACCTTCCCTGGGGAGATGTGGACATATGTCTGCTCATCCCCCACAGGGTACAGAGACTGAGCAAGGAAAAGACCCCACTTGAGTCTACGTGCGTGAGCCAGTGCATTTATTGGGGTTACTTACAGAGCATGAGTTGGGATTGTAGTAGCGACCCCTAAGTACCGCATTATCAAAAAGCCTCAACCGGCGATGGGTCAGGAAAACTGTACCCTGGGCTTCTCACCCTCCCCTTTCTAGACTCTACCTCCTGAGGGAGTGGGCGGGGCCAAGGTAAGGCTTGGGACCCTTCTTGCTCCTTCTACATTCCCAAGGCCCAGTTATCACTTGTTTTGCTTATTCCATTGCCATGGATATTAGCCCGGATGTTCTGTAGTCACCAGCACAACCTCTGCCCCATGATGGTCATGGTCACATAGCTGGACCACAGATGGTGGGTCTCTGCAGATGGAGAGATGCCAGAGAGGAGGTAACTTCTTGGCAGGGCTGGGACACTGCTAGGTGTGGCTGCGGGGATGGGGGCAGGGCTCAGGGGTAGCTGAACAACAGACTGACAGAGCCTGAGATGTCTGGATCCTAGGGTGCCTAGCATGGGAGTTTGGGGTGCTGGGATGATCAAAGCAGAGGTCCATGAGCCCCACTAGGTGGGTAAGTAGGGAGGAATGAATGGGTGGTAGATGAGTAGGCAATCAGATGGGAGACAGTGGGGTACACACATAAACATCACATATACACACACATACAAACACACAGATACATGCATACATTTATATATATGCATATACACACATACATATACATACACATGAAGAGACATGCACAGGCACACACAAAGACATATAGACACACATAGGCACACACAAACACACACACAGATACACAAACATATCACATATAGACACACTCAGACACAGACAGACATATATAGATGTAGACATATATACATGCAGATATATGCACATGCACACACACACACACACACACACACACACACACAGCTGGCCAGATACTCTGGGTCCCCCAAGCTGAGGGTTGTTGCCACTTTCTCTCAGTTGGTGTGACCATCTTTCTGGACTTCACACAGATGCCTGTGGGAAGTAAGACATGCTGGTTACCTCAGTGTTTCTGCAGAGCTGAGACCACACACCACACCAGGAGCAGAGGCACAGGGTCCACAGGGGCCATGGGTGGGTCCTGCCCCGCAGGGAGGGCTATGTCAGCAGTGACCATGCCCTCTCCCAAAGGATGCTATTGTCTACCTCACATGCCTCTCACCTTTACCAGCCATGGCTTGATGGGGTTGCCGTTCTTGTCCATACAGCACAGGGAAGATATGCAGGTTGCAGCCTCCTGGGCAAGCAGGTCCCAGCGGGCATTGTGGCCCACGTTGCCTGTTGGGTCGGCTGGATCCAGGATGATGGGTCTGCAATTGTATCCAGGGTCTGTCTTATCCTCACAGTGTCCACCTGCAATGCTAGCTGGGTTGTTCTCCACTGTCACCTAACAGTACCGAGCCCAGGGCCAGGACTAGGACTCATCTGTGGCTCAGGGGCACACGAGAAGAAGAGACATGGGGTGGGATGTGGTGGCACACGCCTGTAATTTGAGCACCCGGGAGACAGGCAGGAGGACTATGAGTTTAGAGAAGCCTGGGCTACACAGTCTCTCCAAAAGGGGCGGGGGTGGGGGACGGGGAGATCACTCCATGGTTAAGAGCACTTGCTGATTTTCCAGAGGACCTGAGTTCAGTTCCCAGCACCCACATGACAGCTCACAACCTCTGTAACTCCAGTGCCAGGGGATCTGGTACCTCTTTTGACCTCCATGGGCGCTGCACACACATATAAGCAGGCAAAATACTACACACATAAAGTTTTTAAAAAGCCCTTAAGAAGGAAGGAAGGAAAGATGGAAACAGGGAAAAGCAGTTGCATATGTACCACTTTTTCATGCTGTGTTCAGGCAGACATTACTAATCACTTATAGTGCTGCTGTTCCCCCTTCTACGGGGTGAAGAAGACATTGCTAATCGATTAGAGCATCGGTTCTGCCACTATCCCTCCCAGCATCCGTGGTAGATACTACTACTTAGCGAATGTATATCCTACACATCAGACTCGTTCTCAGTATACACTGCCTCTGCCCACAAACTGTCAGTGTAACGTGAGTTTCGGGGACAATCTTGCTTATCTCCGTCCCCATTTCAGAGGTGGGCGAGATGGTGAAGAATGGCACATGCTTATGTAACCTGGAGGCCGCTGATGAAGAGGAGGCAGGAAGAAGTGGGCATTGTGGGTCTGAGGTAGAGGAGTCTGGGGGTGACCAACCTGGACTTCTGAAGTTGCATCTTCAGGAAGTCACCGATGACCTTGTCCTCCGCACTGTAGTTGGTGGTCCAATAGATACACAGCTGACGGTACTGGCCAACCAGCTCCAGCACAGTGCGGAAGCCCTCCGCCATGTTGAACTGGGGATTCTGGCTGCCCTGCTCCCAGGCATACACGGTCAGGAGCTCCAGCCCGTGCTTCGGGGGCAAGAAGCCCTTCCCTGTGACCATCCTGTTGCACTGGGGAAGCCAGAGAGAGGAGATGTGCCGGTCCATGTTGGCAACACAATAGGTAATGCCTCACACAGGTGTAAGAGAGACTCCAGGAATTGACAGATGGATGCCTAAAACTTAACCAAGCACCCGTGTGTGCCAGGGGAATGTCCAGGCGCCAACCCTTGGCACAGAGAGTGTGTGCTTTGGGGGTGGAGCTCAGGGCCTCACACACTCTAGGCAAGAGCTTTTACCAGCACCCCTCCATGAACTGTATCCCAGTTACTTATTTTGACACAGGTTTTTGCTGTGTTGGCCAGACTATCCTTGAACCCACTCTGTAGCCCAGGCTAGCCCTGACTTTTCTATCTCTCTGCCTCAGCCTCCTATGTAGCTGAGATGACCAAGCCTGCACCAGATCTGGCTCAACCCTGCTTTACAGACAAGTAAACCAAGGTTGTCTGGGTGGAACGTGACTGACCTCGCATGCTATCCTTGTGGCCAAACAGACCCCCGTCTCCTCCACGGAAAGAACTGAGGACACAGTTCCAGGGAGCTAGCCTCGCTGTGAATGTGTGTGTGTGAATTTGGGTGACAGATAGTCCTTGTGCCTAACCTGTTGGTACCAGTGCTTTACCAGCCGGATCAGGCTCTTGAGTTTGGTGGGCCGGGAGCTAATGAAATCCCGCTGCAGCTCCGTGAAGCAGGTAGAGAATTCGCCTGCGTTGCTGTAGCTGTGGATGAGGTCCTTGTAGACTCGAGCATCAGGCTTACAACCAGACCTCAGCTGGCCTGTACAGTGGAAATGGTTAGAGCCACTCTGTCTCTCCTAGGGAGCCTGGGTGGGCTAGCTTACAAAGCCGGTCTGAGGGACCCCTTGTCTATGGGTGATCAGAGACCCACTGGGAGGTCACTGGGTGTTTTAGTGAGGGTACAGGTGTGGCATGGGCCAGCTTAATCCCTTTTAAGAGTGGAATTCTCTACCCGGCTCCTTTCCAGGCACCTGCCTGCCCACCACAGAGAAAAAGTCTTGGCTGAGAGTCAGCCTAGGGTGTGGTGTCTCTAATCCCTCTGATGCCCACTCATCTCTCTCAAGGAGAGCGTTCCAGTAGTCATTAGAAAAAAAGCCTTCATCAGGGCTCAGCAGGCAGGGGCCTGACACTGTCATGCTACCTCTGAGGAACTAAACATCAGACCAGACCAGTTTATGTAAGCAGAACCAGAGCCCACATAGCATCTAGATGGCTGCCTGGCTCATCCAGTAAGTATGTGGGTGCTCCAGGTTAAGGTTCAAACCTGGCCGAAAGGCTGAGTGAGGTGGCTATTTAACATATCAAAGTGGACCTGACCTCCAGATTCTCCCAGAATCCTCAGTCCTGACTTGAACTCCCCAGCCTGGGGGCGGGGTGGCCTCCCCCCAGAGGCTCTTCTCTATATAGTCCAGAGGTTTTGGTTACCTGCCCTTTTTTGTACCTTTGGCTTCCTGGCTGCTGTACCTGATTCCCCTCTGTCCCCTCTCCCCACATGGCCCAGCTCAGCTTGGTCATGTCCACTCTGGACTCTCCCAGATGTCCCTGTCCCTGGCTATGCTCTCCCTTTTATCTACAACAAACTTTCTCTTCCTTCACACCTAGGAGCAATCATGTCTTTTCCTTTCCATTTTACTTCTTTTTCTTTTCTTTTCTTTCTTTCTTTCTTTCTTTCTTTTTTTTTTTTTTTTTTTTTGCATTCACTGGGAACTGAACTTGGGTCCTGTGGTGGTTTGATGGTAGGGCTGTTAGGAAAGGATTAGGAGGTGTGGCCTTGTTGGAGGAGGTGTGTCACTGGGAGTGGGCTTTGAGGGTTCAAACACCCACTCCTGACCCCCCCACCCCACCCCTGTTCCTGGGGATCAGGATGTAAACTCTCAGTTACTTCTCAGGCGATTGCCTGATGTCATACTCCCCTGTAAGATGACAAGGCACTAGCCCTCTGAAACTGTAAGCCAACTCCCAGTTAAATGCTTTCTTTTATAAGAGTTGCCTTGGCCATGGTGTCTCTTCACAGCCATAGAACGGTACTCAAGACAGGTTCTCTGCAAGAGCAGTATATGCTCTCTATTACCAGGCCAGGTTCACAGCCCCTCAGCCAGCATCTTTGTAGGAATCAAAAGTGGGCCTCACCACACACTGTAGGAGAGTTATCCTACTCCCATGCCGGTGACGTGAATAGGTGTGTGGCCTAGTTGCACAGTGCACGGTCTCTAGGACTGCCTGGAACCACCCTGCCTGTGTTCTTCCCTTCCTCCGGCCTATGTCTGGGAACCTCACCGAGGGCATCGAAGGCTGGCAGCACGTCAAAGTCCACACTCTGGTCCAGCAGTGTCTGGGATGTCAGGGAGAAGCTGAGCACCCGGGGATTCTTCTTGTTGGAGATTTCAAACTTGACATCAAACGTCTGCATCCGCTGGCACGCCTCCAGCTGAGCCCGGATCTCCGAGATGATCTCTGCCCTACGGCTGCCTTGCTCAGAGAAGTGGTTGAAACAGCTGAGGAATACCACCAGGTCAGCATCTGAGCGCCCTTGTAGCGCGGTGCCTTTGGCAGAAGAACCGCCCTGGGGAGGACATGGAGGGGGATGAGCCCTGAAGTGCCATTTGATGTCCCACTGTGTGTGTGTGTGTGTGTGTGTGTGTGTGTGTGTGTGTCTCACTAGCCTGGACCTCATCAGTCCTGCCATGCTGACTGGCCAGGGAGCCCCAAGGGTGGTCTTTTCTCTATTCTGGAGTTTGGGTATCCCAGGTATGCTCCACCAAGCCCAGTTCATGCAGTGCTGGGGATAGAACCCAGGGATTCTTGCATGCCAGGTAAGCTCTCTCCCAGGCAAGCAACATTGCTTCCAGGAAAGAGAACCCCCCCTTCTTGGAGACATAGCACTCCCGGGGGCTGCCACCCAGGAAGACATACACAGTCAAGCCAACTTTGTAGATTTGTGTGGAAATCAGATGGCTGACTGTCATTAGGGTTGTTGATAAATTTCCAGTGTTTTTAAGTTCAAAAAGAAAGAGAAAAAGCAGATCCAAGAGCCAGAGAGAACAGCCAGCCCTGACACCCTGTGGGTGTGCCTGGGTCACGCTGTGCCTACAAGTGGACTGCTCCCCAGCTTCCCGTTGGACCAGCCACCTTGTTCCTTTGCTGCAGAAATGGACATCACTAGAGCCCACAAAGTGACTGGAGATGGGGTCCCAGCTCCCAGGAGCCCCTCACCCGCAGCTCCGGGGCCTCACCTTAACCACCTTGAGCACCTTGATGGGAGAATTCCGGAAGCAGTTTTCCTTCAGGAAGGAACATATGGTGTCTACCGCTTTCTTCACTTGCGTCAGGAAATGGCGGTCGGGCTGGAGGAATTCACTGATGAACTTGTCCAGGTCCGCAGCTGGGGTCTGGTAAAGGAGGGCTGGCTGTGGAAAGAAATGGGCAGGGCTGGCTGGAGCAGGATGCCGGGACACCCAAGTGCTGGCCTTCCACATCCAGGAACGATGCTGCCCCCATGGTCTCCCACATCTCATCCTTCCCCTTTGGCTGGCATGGGAGGGGCCTGAGTTCCAGATCTGTTTCTACCACTGACACGCAGCCTCAGTTTTCCCACCTTTAAATGGGTATGGCCACCTCTCCCATCTCAGTGGATCTTGTGTGTTAAACAAATGGGCTAAGAGTGTATTGACTGTGGCCCAGGTATGATCTGTCTTTCAAAGAGTCGTGCATTACACGCTGAGTCCTCAGTGGGGTGGGGTGCCTTTAAGGTGGGTCCTTGTAGAATGTGCTTCAAGGTAGAGTTAAGATAGTCCTCAGGGAACCCTGAGTGAGTCCTGTCAGGGAGATGTGACAAGAGCCAGCCTGGCCCTAAGTAGCCCCACAGCACTGTCTTGGCATGTGATGTGCTCCTTCAACACAGACTGCCCCAGCTGTGGCCCTGTCCATCAGCATCCTCAGCACAGCCCAGTGCACACCACTGCCACCGCCTCGAGCCACCTCCTCTACACAGTCGCCCGGCTTCAGGTCTTTTGCTGTAGCCACAGAAATGGATTAAGACCATAGCTGCAGGTGTCTTGACGCCTTGGGTTTTCTTCTCCAAATGCAAAGCCTGAATATTTGACTGGGGCCTCACTCCCTTAGTGGCGGATCATTGGGAGGGTGCTGCTCAGTGTAGTTTTGTCAACTTGACAAGAGCCAGGGTTACCTGGGAAGAGCGAACCTCCTTCATGTTGGCCCAAAGGCAAGCCTGTGGGCATTTTCCTGATTAATGACTGATGTAGGAGGGCCCAGCCCACTGCAGGTGGTGTCACCCCTGCGCAGGCTGTCCTGGGTGTTCTGAGCACGCCACGAGGAACAAGCCAGTAAGCAGCATCCTCCACGGTCTCAGCTTCAGCTCCTGCCTCCAGGTCCGTGCCCTGTCTGCCCTCAGTGGGTGGCTGTGATGTGGAAGTCTGAGCCAAATACTGTCTCCTCCTCAAGTTGCTTTTTGTCATGGTGCTATCACAGCAATAGAGAGGGACACGGAGGCAGAAGAGGGTGGACAGAATGAGAAGCTGGGTTCAGCCAGACATAGGCTTTGGTCTCAGGGAGCTCAGGGTGAGGACTGAACCCCATATAACGGCACTTTATTGTTTCCAAGTGTCGCCCGGGCACTGGCTGAGATCAGCTCTCAGGAGGCTGGGCAGCTGTCACCATCAGCATTCCTAGCCACTGGGGAGGTGAATCCTGGGAATGAAAGACCTGGAGGGGAGCCTACAGTGCCCACCACCCCAGTGTGCCCACCCCACCCCAGTGTCCTTTCTCCTTAAAAAATTAAGCCGTAACAATTATTATATGGCATATGATGTGGTGTGTGTGTGTGTGTGTGTGTGTGTGTGTGTGTGTATGTGCACGCACGTGCACATGTATGCACTTTAGATTGTCTGTGGAGGTCAGAGAACAACTTGGTGGGGTCAGTTCCTTCCCTCCACCTTTCTGTGGGTTCTGAACTCACATTGTCGGATTTGTGGGCAAGCACTTTACCTGCTGGGTCATCCCAGTGGCCCCGGGGCACCGGCTCTTACCATCACATCCCAGGGTGGCACAGGAGTCCCATCTCCACTCTGAAGGCAGACTTGTGACTCCAGGGTGGCTGCTTCCTGAGCTAACAGTTCCCAGCTCCCCTGGCCCACGTTCCAGGTAGGGTCCGCAGGGTCCAGAATTAGAGGCCTGGGGATAGAGCAGACGGAGGCAGGGAAGGACAGTCAGTGATGAGCAGCTGGGAAGGCCAAAATGAACATTAGGAGGGGTTCAAGCCAGCTGCCTCAGTCAGAGAGCTCTCGGGGCCCTTAACTCTAATGGCATTTAATTGTGCTAATCAAACGGGCTCTGAAGTCCTCTGGGGCACCTAATATCCATGCTTCCTCATCAGAATGCAGAGGCTAGGGGTGGGGTGCAGTGGGATGGGTGATCCAGAGCCTCCCATGGCCCCTCCCAGGTACACAGAGTCCAGGAAGGGGGGGGAGATGGGGTTGAGGTGGGTGCTGGGGAGTATGCACCTGGCTTTCTGAAGCTGGCTGAGAAGGTGTGCTCTGAGGGTCGGGTCCTGCACACTGTAGTTGACCGTCCAGTAGACACAGAGTAGCTGGTGCTGCTGGACCAGCCTCAGGATGGTCCGAAGGCCTTCAGCCATGCCGAATTTCTCTTTCCTACCGCCTTGATCCCAGGCAAAGATTGTCAGGAGCTCCAGGGCATAGGCTGGGGGCAGAGTGGTACCCGATGCCTCTCCTCCTTTATTTCGAGCAGCAACCTGTCAGCCAACCAGAGATCAGTCATCGGTGTCACCTGGAGGCTGGCCCTTGGGACTTATAAAGAGATGGGCATATGTAAAGCAGAACCTCAGAAGAGCCACGTCATAAAGCCAGCCTGGATGGTGCTTTTACAGATTGGGGAAACTGAGGTGTGGAGGAGGGTTGTGACTTGTCCCAGATCAGACTGTGAGTCGGAAAGCTCAGATTTGGGTGGGACCTCCCTCAAGGAATGTGAGGAGCTGTATGCGAACAGGGGCTGCCATCTGTCCATCATGGCATCTCATCACCCATCCCACAGGTGGCAAGAGTGGGCTCTGGCAGGGTGTGCAGAACACACAGTGATTGTGGACTAAGGGCCACCTTCTGGGCTGCTGCACGGGCTGACCAGAGCATCAGTGATTATGAGGAGGTTGGAATGTTGCAGGTCTGGAACCTGGGTTTATCTTCAGCCCATTCATTGCCCAGCTCTCGGTCTGGTTTTAGGGTTTTAGGATGTGTTGATTTAACAGCTAACTTCCACCGACCCAAAGGCTAAAATTGTTATCAATAGCATATCAGACTATAGCAAAGCTATCCCTGTTTACTGTTACCCACCACTGTATTTCAGAACTGTTTTGATTCAAGACTTTTCTTTTTTGCAGTGTTTTTGAGACAGGGCCCCTCTATGTAGTCCTGCAAGTCACAGAGATCCAACTACCTGCCTCTGCCTCTGGGATAAAGGTGTGGGCTATCACATCTGGTTTACTTAGGCTTCCTTTATTCTGTCACCATAAAATGTCATGAAACTGTCCCCACAGGACATGGAATTTGGTGACCTAAATCTGGTTGCTCATAATCCAGTCCAGGTTATACTTTTTACCCCCTTTGAGGGCAGAGCTGATTTTTGTTTTTGTCAGTGGCATGAATAAGAGCTGGCCTTCAGAAGAGAAGGTTCTAGAAGCCGCTCAGGGTAGAGTACAGCTTGAAAAGAGGTGGCAATAGGAGCCATCGTAGGCACTCAGGGATGACGACTATGACAATGGTGGCTTCTTGGGAGGGCATGGAAGCTCACCTGGTGGTACCAGTGTTTGACCAGTAGTACCAGGTTCTTAAGCTTAACCGGGCGACTGTTCACGAAGTTCCTTCGGAGCTCTGCGAAGCAGGCCGCGTGCTCCCCAGCCTGGCAGCCACTGCTGAGGAGGGAGGAGTACACCTGGGGCGGAGGTTTGTCGCTGGAATTCAGCTGCCCTGCAGAAGCACAGAATAGGAGCAGCCACCAGTCTACCCGTGCAGTTATTGGTGTAATTAAGTTCAGCATTAATGAATTAACACTGCCGCTGCCAGTCGTGAGCTAAAAATTGAAACATGGCAGAACTGGTAATCTGTCTTAGCATCAGTGCAAGATGTAACCCAGGCTGCCCTGAGACTTGCAACAGTTTTCCTGTCTCAGCCTTCCAAGTGCTGGGGTCATAGTATATGCCGTCTGGTTCACAGCTTTCACTACCTCCCCCTAACTCTGCAGTGAGTTCTGGAGCGAGACAGGCCTGGGTTCAAATCCAATCTGTGTGGACTGACTCTTTGGGCCTCAGCTTCCTCACCTGTAAAAGGGGTTCATGAGCCTGGGGAGACGGCTCAGTGAATGACAGGAATGTCCGGTCTACCTGTGGGCCTTCAGTAACAAGTCACAGATGAGGAAAGGGTCCACTTTAATGACTTTAGTCGGGGCTGGAGAGATGGCTCAGTGGCTAAAAACATTTGTTGCTCTTGCAGAGGACCTGGGTTCGATTCCTGGTGGCTCAGAACCTTCTGTAACTCCAGTCCCGGGAGCTTCTTCTACAGGTACTGCATGCACGCATGCAGCACACAGGCAAACACTCACACACATAAAATACAAATTAAAAAGAAGCAACAATTTGAAACTGGACCTAGACTCACACACCTATGATCCCAGAATACTTGGGAAGCTAAAGCAGGAGAATGACAAATTTGAAGCCATCCTGGTTTGCATATCAAGTCCTGGTTTAAAATAAAATGACCGGGGAGGTCAAGAGAACAGCAGAGATGGGACAGAACAGAGATGGGACAGATGGTCTGAGGGCAGAGAAGACAGAAGCAGGGAGTCAACATCAAACAGCTGTGCCGGTTGCTGGTGCTGGGGAAGGTTTGGTGATCTCCCAGAGGGGTTTTTAGTGCTTGGTGAAGCCCAAGGAGTATGGCCAGTACCTCCCTGTTCCATGGTCCCTGGTCCTCTGTGGTCCCACCACTCTCTTACCTACAGCATCAAAAGTGGGCAGCACACTGATGTCCACCCAGCGGTTGAGGTCTGGGGACAGCAGCTGGAGTTGCAGAGCGTTCGGCCTATTCTGTTCAGCAAACTGCAGGCTCAGTCCAGACTCCGGTTCCTGCCACCAGGACTGCAGCTGGGCCCGAATGTCGCGCAGGATCTCTGCTCGTTGGGCTCTTTGGCCCTTGAAGTCACTGAGGACTTTATAAAAGACGACGAGCTCCACATCGCAGTCACCCCTGATGTCTGTGCCGCGGCCAAAAGAGCCGCCCTGCGGAAGGAAGGACAGCTCAGACCTTGGACTTTCCAGGAACCCCAACCTTCCAGGAATCTGGGAGTTGTGCCAGCACCCCTGCAGGCCTGGGATGTGGCTTTCACTGATGTTGGGTCTGGACCTTGGCACAGCCCTGGGGCCCAACCCTTGAGAGCTTCGAGAGAGGAGTTTTATCTGCGGAGCCTGCCTCCAGGTCCCCCCGAGTCAGACCAGTGAATGGCTGACAAGCAGGAGGGAGTTGAGGCAATGGCTGGTGCCCTGGGCATGTTCACTCTGAGCACATCCCTAGCAGAAAGGCGATGTCCAGGGCCTAGGGCCTGAAGACAAATGAGCTGTATGTACTCTGCTGGCCTGGCTGAATCAGTCACTCAGCTTTTACCCACTTATTCACTCAGGGGCTTAATTCACTACAGTCGGTAATCAGTAAGTCCTTGGCTTTGGGGCTTTGCTTGGTACCTACCAGAGCAGGAAGGGTGCTGGGACTGAAGTCTCAGACTGGAGATCCTGGCTCTTTGTGTGTGTGTGTGTGTGTGTGTGTGTGTGTGTGTGTGTGTGTGTGTGTGTGAGCCAGGATCTCCACCTATGCATCTCAGGCTGACTCTGAACTCAAGAACACCCTGCCTTTGCCTCTCAAGTACTGGGATGACAGATATGTGCCACTGGCTCAGTGAGATTGATGTTTTAGAAATACCGTGGTTAGGCATTGGACAGAGTTAGCGGAGGTATGTGTGTGAAAGAGCTGAGACCAGGAGAATAGTGTGGTCCAGAGGGAAGACCCAAGGAGCAGCCCCTTGGTGAGCCTGGAGCTGATGAAGGGGTCAACGGGAGGCCCCCAAAGGGTCAGAAGCAGCCAGATGGGCCCCATGGTCCTCAGGGAAACACAGATTTTTGAGCTCAAGGGGGAAGTGATATGACTATTTTAACAGTGATTTTTATAGCAGTAGCAGCAGCAGTAGCAGCAAAATCCCAGACAACTTATGGGGTAAGGCTCAGTGTAGAGAAATTACCCAGGGTAGTAAGACCCAGGCGTCAGTCAAATGAACAACAGAACCAGTGTACCATGCAAAGTAGAATGAACCAGATGTGGTAGCCCAAACTTGCAACCCCAGTTCTAAGGACAATGAGGCGGGGGATCGCCTGGGATTTGAAGCTAGATTGGGCCACATAGTGAGTTCCAGATTAGCCTGGGTTATGTGTGAGCTAAAAACAAAAAAACAAAAACAAAAAAAATAAATAAATAAAAAGAAAACAAAACAAATGCACTTAAACCCACATTGGTCCTCAGCTCAACTGGCTTGGCGTTGGATGGCCGAGCAGTGTGGCTACCATGCTGGATTAACATGCCCAGCATCAGCTTCTGGAAGCGTGGGAACACAGGGAGGGCAAGCCACGCTAGCTCTGACGTAGGACATACGGGAGATGCCTAAAGTTATAAATGTGGTTTGGATTTACAGCAAACCCAGCTTAGATTAGGATGCGACTCCACTTTAAATGGAGGAACATCTGTCTGTCTACACCCAGCCAGCAAACCACACCTTGGGGGACACCAGTTTCCCTGGCTCATCTGGGCTCTTTTGTCTCCCTGCCCACCGTGGTTCTCTGGGGGCAACCCAATGGCACCTTTGCCTTAGGTCTCACCTTGCTGACCCTGGAGGCTTTGTACACACACTTCTCCCGGAGGCGGCACAGGATGGCATCGATGGCTTTCCTCACCTGCTGCTGGGTCTGGGGACTCAGCTTCAGGTGATCCTGGATGAAGGAGTCCAGCTCCTTGCTGGGGATCTTTGACAGATCTGGACCCATCACTGCCCTGGGTGTGGAGATGCTGGGTGGCCCTGAGTGGCCAGGAGGTATGTTTGGGGTGATCGGATCCTGACTCCAGACATTGGGCACTGAGTCACGGGCAGTCCTTGGAGAGGTTGCTTTTTTGAGGTTCTTGCTGGCTTTATAGGCTGCTGGGTTCTGCATAGCAGGGACCTTGGTGGCTGCCTGTGGGAGTCCTGGAGCTCGATGTGAAGTTTGTGGGCTCCCTGCCCTTGGCCGAACAGCACTGTGGCCTGTGTTGTCTTCAAGGGCCTGATTAGGCCCTTGTTGGATGGGGTGGCCCAAACCCAAGATGCCAGCACGTGGAAGGCCCTGGAAGGTAGTGATCAAGGTTCATCAGCCAGACCAGAGGTGTCTCTCAGCCTTTCTATCAGTCCCTCTGACCATAGCTGAGGTGACTGAGGGTTTGAGTCACGGGAGATGTGAGCCTTGGTGAGAACTGGACAGGTGCCCAGATGGAGAGACAGATAGTTGTGAGGATTGCTAGGTGGACGGACATACCCTGGGAGGAGAGGACACCACAGACAGCCCCAGGTGCTCTTCTCCGAAGCCTGAGCTGGGAGATACTCCCACCACCCCAGACTTGCACGCCACAGCCCCTAGCACATCCGTACCAAGCCTGAAGCTCCTGGTGTTCTCACTCACCGGCCCCTCCCAAGGCTGCTCAGGGACTCCAGATGCCTGCAGGAAGCAACACTGATTAAAGCAGGACTCGGCCTCCTTGGCCAGCACATCCCAGCGCCAGGTTGTCCCGTTGCCCACGTCCCAAGTCGGGTCAGCTGGATCCAGGATCACGGGCCTGTAATTCCAGAGGCAAGAAGGCCCCGGGCAGTGAGAAGGGTCAGAGTTAGGGCAGACCTGGTGCTCACCCCAGCTTTGACCCTTGTCAGCTTTGGTGTCCAGGGCAGATGACCTCCTTCCTCCAGCCCTGGTTTTCTCATTTGCATAAGGATGACATCACCTGCTCTGCTAGAGCCGGGGCCTGAACTCTGGTAAGTGGTTTGAATGAGTACAGAACCCCCACCCCACAGGCTTATAGATTTAAATACTTGGGTTTGGTTCCCCTGTTGGTGGCGCTATTAGGGAAGGATTGGGAGGTGTGGCCTTGTTGGTGGGCTTTGAGATTTCAAAAGTCCCCATCCCAGTTAGTCTCCCCTCCCCCACCCCCTCTGCTCCCTGCCTGGGGATCAGGGTGTGAGCTCTCAGCTCCAGGGCCCGCCCACCTGCCTGCTGCCATGCTTGCTGCCCTGTGGTCTCACCCTCTGGAGCTGTGAGCCCCAATCATATGCTTTGCTTTGTGAGTTCACAATGTCTCTCCCTTCATAGCAATGGGAAAGAACCAAGACATCACCCGGCTTCACAGCCGAGGTGCACGGACAGACGCAAACAGGGTCCACCCCCAGGGACTCTGAGTCACACCCCAAGGAGCAGAATGCAATCCATAGCGTGATAATTCACACAAAGGAATAGTTCCCACCAACAAAGAGAGGGCGAGCCCCAGCTCTATGGGTGGATCACAAAGACTTAATGTGACAGTGGAACCAGGATGTGTCCCTGATGCAGGAGAGGACTCTGGGAGCACTTTCCCCATGGAGGGATACTCCCTTAGCCTGGAGGCAGGGGCAGGACCTAGGCCTTCCTTACTCCAAACAACTTGACAGATGTTTCTTAGATGATCCCTCCTAGAGGGCATCACACTCCCTGTGCGGCAGGGGGGTGGGATGGGATGGGAGGGAGGTGGAGGGGCATGGGAGGGAGGGAGAGGGGATCGATATATAAAGTAAGAAAAAATAATAAATATATTTAAAAAAAAAGACTTAATGAAGGAAGAGAAGCCAGCCATTGTAGTGAGATACTCACTTTGTCCGCATCTGTGGCACTGACCACGCCCATTGGGGGTGGGGACAGGGCGGATGGTACCCGGGGAAATTAGGTCTGGGGAAGCTCCCCACCCCCAGCGCTCTCTTGCTTGCAGCACGGGGACAGGAGAGCATCCGGAGGCATCCTTGGGACTAGGGACCTGCTGATGTTCGTCTGTCTCTGTTGTGAGTTATTTCTCCCTGAATAAACACCTTTTCAGCCTATTTGTTTTTCCTGATCCTTATTAAGCCACAAGAGGGTGTGCATGCTGCTAGATTCCCTGTAATATGACTTAAGAGCAGGCAGGGCCCTGATGATGAAAGGCAGAGCAGGATACCTGTGGGGTGCTGCTGCCTGGGAGGGCCTACTGGCCTGCTGGACACCTTGTGCAGCTGAGCTGGGTTTCACAGGAGTGAACTGTCATCAGTGTACGCGTGTTACATGTCAAATAAGCAGGACTGATAACACGAGCCCTGGCTATGGTCTGTTTCTAAATTCTTAAGTAACCAGGACTAAATCATTCCCTCATGTGCAGAGCAGGAGAGCAGGCGGGGCAGCAGAAGAGATACCTGGGTCTCTCAAGCTGCCTTCGCAAGAACTCTCCAACCACAGGGTCCCCGAAGTCGTAGTTTTCCGTCCAGAAAATGCACAGGTTCTTGTTCTGTTGGATCAAGGCCAGGACGGTTCGGAGCCCTTGGGCCAGTCTGAAGCTGTCCTTCCTGCAGCCTTGCTCCCAGGCGAAGATGGTGAGCAGCTCCAGGGCATAACTAGGGGGCAGTGTGGCCTTCTTGGTCTCCTGCATCTGCACCTGTGGGCAGGGAAGAGGGCTTAGCTCAGCGAGGGGGACAGAGCTGGGGCTCACAGCACCCCACAGCCTGAGCCTGGGGCAGGCTGCTGCTGCTTCTGCTTGCCCCAGGACCCAGTCTCCCCGCCCCCACCTTCCCCCCCCCCCCCGCTCCCATTTTTCTCATCTGCCTGTGAGGTCACAGATTGACATGATGGGACGGGAAGGAATGAGTGTCAGGCCTCAGCCAAGAAATTAATATGCTTGATGACATTCAAATTCAACTGCTTCCAGTGACGGATGGCTCTTAAAGACAGCAGAAAGACAATCCAAAGACCGGGCGAACACATTTGCATTACTGCAAGTAGTAGATAAGGCTCTGGACATCGACCGGATGTAGTAAAGAACACCAGTGAACCAACAAGAAGTCAGCCCACAACACAGAACCATAGACAAAGAACATAGCAGGTGCCAAACAAAAAATGGCCACTAAAAGGACAAACCAACCAGTCTTAGGCTGCAGGCGGGACCCAGCCAAGCTGCCTCACCTGGTGGTACCAGTGTTTGACCAGCAGGATTAAGTTCTTAAGCTTGATTGGGCGACTGTTCACAAAGTCCTTTCGGAGCTCCGTGAAGCAGACCGCGTGCTCCCCTGGCTGGCAGCCGCTGCTGAGGAGGGAGGAGTACACCTCAGGTATGGGCTTGACTCCAGAGCAGGGCTGTCCTGGGGGCAGCAAGGAGGGCAGGTTAGGAAGGGCACTGAGCACTGAACTCAGCCTGTCCCTGGGAGGGCAGTTGACTTGGAGGAGGGGGTGGGGGTTGGAGACCGGGGGATGGGGGCCTGAGAGGAAGAGTGGGGTTTCAAGGAAGAGAAGAGCTTCCGCGCAAGTCAGAGGTGCTTGGGACTTGGCTATTATGGTCAGGAATTGGTCACAGTGAGAAACAGGCGACCAATGGCGGGCACCTTGTTCTCGCTCTCAGATTAGGACAGAGGCGTATTTTGGAATAAGTCAAAGCCTAGCTAGGGCATGTTTGAGAAGTCAAAATTCTCGCAAATACACCAAGAGAGACTTTTCACCGGCCCCATATCCACATAAAAGCCTTAGCCTTTAAGGCTGAGGGAAGCTAGAGCCTCCGGGTGGGGGCCAAGCGCCAACTCAGGGCCACAGACTATCAGTCCTAGGCCTTCCTGGCTCCTGTGGTGTCTGAATTTGGCACATTTAAACTAGAAACTGAGGTCCAGAGAGGCCTAGGGGCTCTCCAAAGTCACACAGCAAGTGGGTGGAAGGTCAGAATGCAACAACCCACATTTCTCCTAATGATGGCGCCTCTAACTCTGGGTCAGGCTGAGGGGCCCCTCACCCAGGACATCAAAGGCAGGCATCAGGCTAACATCCATCCAGTTTTCCTGGTCTGCTGATGTCAGCCGGAACTGCAAGACACCAGGTGCCTTTGGCTCAGAAAACTGAAAGATCAGGCCAGGCCCAGGGTGGCGTCCCCAGGACTCCAGCAACACCCGCATGGCACCCAGGGTCTCTGTGCGTCCGGTGTTCTGGTCCCCATAGCTCCTGAAGCAGCTGAGAAAGATGACAAGTTCGGTGTCACAGTCGCCCTTGAGAGCTGTGCCCCGGGCATAGGCTCCTCCCTGTGAAGAAGAAAGACAGCTGGGGACCGCATGCTCCAGCTCTGTTCCCCACGGGGGGACCCTGAAGGACTGGGTGGGTCACATGGGCTGAGAAGGGGCAGCCATGAAGCTCTCTGCATCCCACACTAGGCAGAACCTGGGTCCTGCTCATGGCAGCCAGGCCTGAGCTCTGGGAGAGTGGCTTTAATCTGTACATTTGTGACTGTCATTTGATGCTGGGCTCCAGCTCCCACCTTTTTCTATTCCTTCTAAAAAAGATCATCTATTTTTATTTCATGTGTATGAGTGTTCTGCCTGCACGTATGTATGTGTAGTGCATATGCGCCTGGTGCCCACGAGCCCAGAAAAGTGGCGCTGGATCCCTTGGAGCTGAAATTACAGACAGCTGGGAGCCATCATGTGGGTGGAGGGAATCGAACCTTGGTCCTTGGCAAACACAGTCAGAGCTGTGGGGCCCCTGAGCCATCTCTCCAGCCCCCATTTCTATTTTCACATGTGTGCATGTTTGCAATGCGTGGGTCCACGTGGGAATGGGGGTGCATGTGTACATGTTTATGTGCCTGGGGATGTAAAACGTTGATGTCAGGAGTCAACCCAGTCGCTCCTCCAGGGTCCCCAGATCAAAGCCAGTGGTCGCCAATATGATTAGTCTTGCTGGCCTGCTTGCTCTGATGATCCTGTCTCCACCTTCTTGGGATTATGTCGGTTCTGGGGTTTGAACTCAGGTCCTCAAGCTTGCATGGCAAATGCTTTAACCATCAAGCTGACCCTCCAGGCTCCATTCTTAGCCCTTCAAAAAACCTGAAATGGCTGGGCCAACCAAGTGCAGTGAGGTAAGTCCACGCTCTTTGTGACAGCAAATACAGAAGTGTGCTGTGACAGGCCTAGTGTTCCAGACCTTTCTCATGGGGTTTTGGACCCAAAGCTCCAGCCTGAGGACTTGGGAAGGAGACTTGCATGCCCTGTGCCCTGCATCTGTCACCCTCAAGTTGTGTGTGGAATGAAAGGAAGCAGCAGATGAAATGGCCAGTGGGCAGCTACCGGTCTCACACACGAGCATCCCACCCTCCCTAAGGATGCTGGGATGAAGGTACTATTGCACCCCCACCTCACAAGGGGAAAAGGGAAAAAACGAGGGGATACTTGCATCTCTCTTCTCTCAAGCCAAAAGAAAAGAGCGAGGTCCCAGCTGACACCTCGGGATGCATTGAGAGGGTCTTTTCCCTCCCACACAGTATTGGGCTCAATTATGTTTTCAAACCCATGCCATGGGGAGCTTAAAGAGGTCTCGACCCTCAAACCCCATTCCTTCTACCTCCACCCCAGTCCTCTCTTTGTGATTGAAAAGGAAATTTCTAGCCTGGAGGTGATGACTTGTGGTGGCCTGTGGTGGACCGTGTCTCTGGCCCCAGAACTCAGGGGCCATGTTAGGTCTGAAATATTGGCTTTCTAGAGCATGCAGCTTTGCAGCATAGGACAGGCAGTTGACACCCAAGGCCTGCTGCCACTCCTAGAACTGCCAGTCATCTGAGATTGGGGTTCATTCTGACGCGGCTCCTGAGGTCTGTAGCTCCCAAGTGCTGTGTCTTCCTCCTTGACTTTCTGGCTCAGTTACAAGCCCCAGAATCCCAAGAGGCCTTTCAGTGGGGAGAGACACCCCTGAACCATCAGTGTGGGCCCTGGAACCAGAGCTGACTTTCCTCTCTCAGAGCCACAGTTGTCGGAGACCACAGGCTGATGTCAGCCTCGAAGGCCTGTGTGAGTTTTCTGGAGAGTTCAGAGCTTCAGACAGCCTTGGGCTCCTGCCCTGCAGGATCCCTCATAGCCCGGTACTCATAATCCTCAGAGCCAAACAACCTCCATCTTGGGGAGTTTTGCTATGACTGTGTGCAACAGATCACCATAGCTGAGCTTGTTGATTGCTTAATAGCCATGAAGAATGCTCACCACAGGGCCCAGCGGGCCTAGCACCTGCTGCATGATTCTGCCCTAACTGTATGTGGCCTCAAACTCCTTCCACATCTCCAGCTAGTATGTAGCCTCAGGAACTGGCAGGTGACCTGAGACCTACCCAGGACAATCTCTAGACTCATCCCACCCCTCCTAGGTCCCCATGATGTCTCCACATCCCCAGGGTTACCCAGAATAAGGTGGCTCACAGCACATCTCCCCAGCTCTCTGAGCATTTAAAGGTTATAGAGGCAGTGTGGCACGACGCTCATATGACATAAAGTGGGTTGGAGAAGTAGCTTAACCACTTTCAGCCTCAGTTTCTCCATTCCTAAAGCTGGCAATAATTCTCTGTCTCAGGAAGCATGAGGATTGAGGGAGCTGGAGCAGGTTTAAACCAGGTCATGTTCATTACTACTTAGCTTTTCCTCAAAGATTGGGCCACAGTGGGTATGAGTGTCATCCTCCCCCCACCCCACCCCCCGCCTTGTCTCAGAGCAGTGAGGCTCAGCAATATCTGGTCTAGAGTCCGAATAAGTGAGTGAATGAATGAATGAATGAATGAATGGGACAGTCTTTGAGAGAGTATAGGAGTAATCAAGCCACCCTGTGCTCCTGCCTGGGCCCTTACCCTGGATATCATTTGGTATCTTGGTGCCTCCATTTCCCCGTTAAAGCAACACCTGAACCATCCCTCAGAGGACCAAGCGGGTGACCGTCTTGGGATGCCCCACCCTCTCACCTTGGCGATCCTTATCACTTTTGGTTTCTGTGACCCTAGGGCTCCCGGCTTCCGTAGGGTGGTGTCCAGTAACCCCAGAGCGCCCCGCACAGCCGCTTTGAACTCAGGGGATGGATGCAGGCTGTGGGCCACCAACTTGTCCAGAGCTCCAGCTGGCGTGTGGTACAGATCCATGTTGACCTGTGTCCCTAGGAGAGTTTCGTTTCTCCCTAGGCTTCGTGGGGTGTGTCCTGAACTGATAGGCGGGGCTGTCATTTCCTCCTCCCCCCATTTCCTCTCCTTCCAGCAGCTTAGGGCAGTATCGAGATTACCAGTTCATGGGCCATGGTTTTATCTTGGTGTGATTTCTGACCCCTTGGGCAGCCCGGGAACTCTAGGGACCAGGCTCTCTGGGTCAGCTGAGGCTTCCTGAACTCTTACCCAGGAGCCCAGGACAAGCTGCCCTCAGCACCTCAGAACCAGGCTTGAACATGCAAACCCCTCCACCCACGCCTCAGTTCTCATCTATTCTGTTTTGCTGTGGGGTCCTGTGTTTATGAGATAGACACTCCAGGCCTTAGTTTTTCCATCTGTAAGATGGGGTTATATTTGTGAGCCAGCATTAAATGCCTGGTGGTGACCTCCGTATAAATATCAACTCAGTCCTCTGCAAATTCTCACAAGGTGACAGCACTTCCATCTGTTGTAAAGGCAGGATGGCTGAGGGACAGAGAGGTTGAGTAAGTCATTCAGCATCGCATAGCACAACTCTCAGAGTTAGGATTTGAACCCAGGACTTCCCATCCTAGGCATCTTGACTTTGTGCTCCCTGTTCTTCTGGGGCACAAGGTCGCTCTATGAGGTGATGGGCTGATGAAGCCCTTAGCCTGGGCTGCACATAGGCCTAGAGAAGAAATGGGAGCTACTGAAGTTGGCATCAAACTGGGATGTACCACAGTGATGCTGAAGGTAGATTGAAGGGCAAGTCTGGATTGAGGGATGAAGGCCTAAGGCAAGGAAGCTATGGTTCTGCTCTGCATGTGTGTGCCTGCCAAGACTGCACAAGCATGGGACAGATAGTCATTTGGTCTGATATTTGGCGTCTATGTTGGAAACCTGGTGTCTTCAAATGGTGATCATAGCTGGCCAAGACACAGAGAGAGACAGAGACAGATAATGACACACACAAGAAACAATGAGAGACAGGGCAGAGAGCAAGTTTGACCTCTACACCAAGAGCCCTGAGCTACCAGATGTGGACAGCCTTCGACCCTATTATCAGGGGCTGATTGACAAGTACTGCCCGGGCATCCTGAGCTAGTGAATGGTTTCTAATGCCCTCCCACCGTTTAAGAAGCACCTAGGCTGGACACCATCAGGCATAGCCTACTCCAGCCTTGCTCAGGGCCCCAGACGCCTGTCCACAGTTCTCACCCATGTGGTTGAGGTCACTTGTGCCAGATATCAATAAAAACGGAAAGTTCTTTTTTTGGAAAAAGTCAGCATCAGGATACTCTTTGGCTTGGGGTGTATCAGCATGTGGGGTTCATCTGGTAACTTCCTGTTAAGGCTTCCTGTCCCAGAAAAGGTCCCCTATATCCTCACTAGCTTCAGGATCACCACCCTCTTCTCCGGTGTTTGAAAATTCACAGGTCTGGGTTCTGTTTCCTCAGCAGCCAAGAGCTAGGATTGGACCCTAACCCCCGGGACTCTGCCTGTGAACTGGCCTGTTGTGATCCCCTCATGTTCATACCCCAGTGTCTCCTGGAACCCCTTACATCTCAAATGTCCAGTCCCCGGCCCCTGGTTGGTTGGAGCTGGTAGGCAGTGGGGGGGGGGGAGAGGTGGCTGGGGGTGAGGCCTCATGGTAGGGCTTCAGGCCATTAGGGAGTGTGGCCTCAAGAAGGCATATGAATCTCCATAGCAACAAAATAAAGAGATACCTTCAGGAGAGAATGGGACCTTGCTGAAAAGTCCTTGGGATCAAGTGACCCTGAGATCAGAGTTAACTTCTCACAGCACATGTCACCTGTGAGTCTTGTGCTTGGTGGAATGTCACAAATGAGTTCTAAATTAATATATAAATAGAGGGCAAGCAGAACTGTAAGGTTGTTTTGTGTGTGTGTGGGGGGGGCATTTGGTCTCTAACTCATGGAGATCCACCTGTCTCTGCCTCCCCAGTGCTGGGATTAAAGATGTGCACCGCCACCACCTGACTGGGCAGTGACTTCTGCTGGGCTCAGAGCTTTCCAGAGACCAGGGTGGGCATGAGGCTAGTTTGGCAGAGTGCTCACCTGGGGCTTAACCCCCACTGTTAAACTCTGGCCTCCTCATAAGATCTCATCACATGTGCCATTGCTCCCCCCCCACACTGGCATGCATAAGCATGGACACATACCCAAACATACATGCATGCATGTACTTGCACACAGGATTCTAGAACTGAGTGGAAGTTCTGTACAGTCTACTCATTTTTCAGACAGATGAGGAAACCATGACCCACAGATGTGCTCACAGGAAGGGCTTGGACTGCCATCCTCCCAGCCTGATGTTTAGCACATCAGAAGACCACATTTTGCTTCCCCTGTGTTCTGGAACCTTGCAGCTACCAGGCTCACATTGACATTCTTAAAGAAAACAAGCTGAGTGGGCTATCCTCCCTCTCCCTTTGGAGACAGTGCTTATATGTAGCTCAGGCTGGCCTTGAACTCCTCATCCCTGGGCCTCTGCCTTTCAGATTCTGGGATTCCAAGCATGTACTGGGACACCTGGATGCCACTCCTTATTGTTATTTTTAATGTTCTCCCCCCCAAAAGGAAACAAGTACCTATAGCCAGTTCTGTCTGCTTCCAACCTGAAGGGGTCCTTACAGGACTCCAGGCCTCAGCCTGACTCCAGCTCTCAGTCCTGAAAACAACTATTTTAATTCAATGCAGATTCTCCAAGACTTTAAGGTGGCAGAGTAGACAGTGAAGGAGGTCTCACAGCTAGGACAGGACAGTGAAGGAGGTTTCACAGCTAGGACAGGACAGTGAAGGAGGTCTCACAGCTAGGACAGGACAGTGAAGTGGGTCTCATAGATGGGACACCTTGGCACATCCCACATGTTGTTTAAACTAACCCACAAAATTGTACAAAAGCATCATGCTGTACACACACCCAAACACATGTTACTGTAAAAGGGAATGTAAATCCTCGAGTTCCTGACACAAAGGCAGGCTCACTAAGGATGAGGGCCAGGAATAATTTAAGAATTAAAGGTTGAGGTTAAAATAAAAGTCACTAATTTTTTAAAAAATAAAACACAGTTTTCTCTGTATGGCCCTGGCTGTCCTGGAAATTGGTCTGTAGACCATGCTGGCCTTGAACTCAGAGATCCACCTGCCTCTGCCTCCCAAGTGCTGGGGTTAAAGGCGTGCACCACAATGCCTGGCCCTGTCCAAGAATCTAACTGCTTCAAAACAAAATAAAACAAACAAACAAAAAAACCAAAAAGCCTGTGTGTTCTTCCAGTCCTTGGAAGGGAAGGGGAAGAGAAGAGGCACAGGATGATGGCTTTTGTGGGACACTTTCACTTCCTGCTTGTAAAAGCCCTTGTCACCTTTGACTGTTGCAATCTCCTGCAGAACAAGGTGAATGTGTCCCTGTGGTTACAGTAAGCAGTGTCACTTTCAAAGCTGAACTCAAGAAACCTACAGAAGCTAAAGCTATGGAGAAATGTCTTTATTTCCAGCGAATGTTGACCCAAAAATAAACAGAGAGTGTCACCCACAATCATGCCAACCAGACAGCGACTGAAAAGGAATAGGACAGAAGGAATGCATTCTTCCAGCAAAACCAGGTTCAGTTATGAACACAGAGCAGGCACTTTCCCGGTCAATGAGTCCATCTCTGCTCCACCTGGAAAGGAACCTACTTTGCCTATTTATTGTCACGGCGTCATATCTTTGTCATCTTCCAGCCACGACATTCCAGGTGAACAACACTGTTAATTCTTTTCTGCCACTTCACGTCGTCAACAGTCTTACCATCTGTGAACACTCCCAGTAAGGACTGGGCTGGCAAGACCCACCCCTGGGAACAATAGTGGCATGGATGGTATAGGGGTCACTGGCCACATTCTGACTAGACTTGAGGCCCACTCCCCAAGAGGAAACTTGAACCTGGTACTGTACCTCTGGTCAGGAACGCACAGCAAGGAACTCACAGGCCCCAGGAATGAACCTACTGGAGTATGTCCACCAATGGACATGGTATCAGGCTGCCCTCTGTATCTCCATGCTGGTGAACTGGTGCAGCTCTGTGACCGCAGCAGAGAGGTCTCTGTGCAGAGATGGTGGTGAGTGCAGAGTCACAACTGAGGCAGAGAACTGCAGTGTCTGTGCAGTGCTCAGTCACAAGTGGACGTCTGGGTTACAGCCCCTCCCCCCCAGGGCTCTGGGACATAGAGGAAGAGGGGATGGAAAGATTGGGAGGTGGGAGAAGACTGGGGCGAAGCAGCATCGTCTGGACACTCACAGCAGCCCCGGTCACCTGAGCAAGGTCAAGCCAGTCCATGCTCGAGCCTGGATGGGAGAGACACTCACTAACCATCTGCCCTAGCTGAGCAGCTGCTGACAGTTAGTTGGTGGCTGATAGTGAACAGACATGTGCTGGGGATTCTATCTCTGGGATGAAACACGCTGACCGAAGCAAGTTGGGGAGGAGAGAGTTTGTTTCACTCACAGTTCCCTGTCTCTGTTCAACAACAAAGGCAGTCAGGGCAGGAACTCAGACAGGGCAGCGACCTGGAGGCAGGAGCTGATGCAGAGGCCATGGAGGATGCTGCTCACTGGCTGGCCTACAGTCCACTATCACAGAGGCATTTCCTCAATTGAATTCCCGCCTCTCAGATGGCTCTAGCTTGTGTCAAATTGGCATAAACCCAGCCAGCTTGGGTTAATTTTCCTCAGGGATGTGATCAATGGCAGGTTGCCCACATTCCAATGATGTTCTCACACCTCTGCGAATATGAGAAGCACTAACTAGATTAAGTAGATTACTCACTAAAGTGGCATGAAGTTGGGGAGGGAGTTGGGGGAGACAGTGAGTTGTGTGTGCGGAAGGGGAGAGTTAATTTGATAAAAAACACATTGAATGTATATTACAAAAATTTCAAAAACAGTTTACAATATGGCCAGGAGGGTTCTTAATTTCAGTGTTTTGCCCTCCAAGAGGCACAAGTCACTTCCTGTAGAGCCGGTCAATTCCTTCCAAGGGAATCATGACAAATAGCAGGGTCTCCTCAGCAGTAGCTAGACATGTGGCCAAGAGGGTTAAACCCTGTGATCTGGGCACTCACTGACTCAGTCAGTGTGATCATGGGCATTGGCCTCATTGGAATGAATGACACTTCAGATCTCTTTAAGACACACAGAAGCTTGGGGTATGGATTAGCTGGGCATATTGGCACAATTTATATAATCCAAGCACAGAGGGGCTGGGGCAGGAGGATTGCTGTGAGTTGAAGGCTTGTCTGGCTTATGTGACTATGAGACCCTGTTCAACAACAAAAAGGGTCAGTGAGATGGCTCAGTGGGTCCAGGTGTTGGTTGTCAAACCTGACCTGAATCTGATCCCTGGGACCCACATGGTGGAAGGAGAGAGAGCAGACGCCTACAAGGTGTTAGACCACACATGTTCAGACACACGAAATAAATGTAATTGAATATTTTAAAATATAATTAGCTCAACCCTCACCCAGATCTGCTCAGGACCCTCCGCTGGACTCTTGTCGTCCCATGCTAGTACCTATGTGAGGGGTCCTCAGCATCACAGTTCCCTCAGGAGTGGTCAGGGTCTTAGTGTGGCTTTCTATTGCTGTGAACAGACACCATGACCGTGTAACTCTTATAATGGCAAACATTTAATTGGGGTGGCTTGTTTACATTGCAGAGGTACAGTCCATTATCATGGTGGGGGCATGGCGGCACGAGGGTGGACATGGTGCTGGCCACGTGTTCTTCAGTAAGTGACAAAAAAAATGAACTGGAACTCTGAGCAGTATGGTGAGCATATGAGACCTCAAAGGTCACCTCCACAGTGACACACTTCCTCCTACAAGGCCACACCTTTGACTATCACAGTCAAGGTCACCAAGGGGCCTCTGTTACCAACCAGACTATGAGGACTGTACTTTTTGCTAGGAATTTGATAGGAATGACACAGCCACAGACTCCTGCTTCAAAGATGAAACCCCTTCAATTCACCTTGTGACAATAACCACGGGCAGAGCCGATGCTCCAGTTATTTCTTCAGTCTTACATTCTTTACTCTCTGCAGTGATTCCAAGAGTGATTCAAGGTGTGTGTGTGTGTGTGTGTGTGTGTGTGTGTGTCTGAGAGAGTGAGTCAGTGTGTGTGTGTATGTATGTGTGTGTGTCTGTGTCTGAGTGAGTGTGAGTGTGTGTGTGTGTGTGTGTATGTCTGAGAGTGTGTGTGTATGCAAGTGCATGAATACTTGTTTTTAGAGACAAGGTCTCCTCATGTAGGCCAGTCTGGCCTCAAACTCTTCATCTTCTGTGTCAGCCTCCTAGGACTGGGATCACAAGTGTGGACCACCTGCCCTGATGAACATCCACTCCTGCTGGGCAGGGAAAAGTTGCCATGGAGACAGGCTCCTCCCTCATGGTGATCCATCCTGGGCATAAGTCAACACTCTGCATTTCTGGAGAGTGGCAACTGCCTGGTAATGCTGGCAGTTACAGCTGGACAGAATGACAGATGCCTGTAACCTCAGTAGTCGGGAGGACAAAGCTGCAGGTTCCCAAGTTCGTGTCCATCCTGGCAACACAGTGACATCCCACATTAAAGAAAGATAAGAAGCCTTCATTCATCCTTTGTGATGGACAGATGGGGTGGTGGTTGGAGGGCAGTGAAACTGTCGTGGGCAGTGCTTTGGATGATAGGCACATGGGCCTGCATCTCAGAGCACAGGGACCAGTGAGACCCAAAGGCTGACTTCAAGCTCGCCATGGCCTGGGCAGGCAGCTCATTATAATGGCCCAGTCTGAACCTACCGTCCCTGCCACACAACCACCATAGCAGTGTTGAAACTGTGTGCCAGACATCTTTAGGCTGTTTCTCACTTGCTCTTTATGTTTTAGAGATGTGTGTATATTGCTGTTAGACATCTAGGAGACTATAAAACTATTTGTCTTTCAGTAACAATAAAAGATCAAGAAGAAAAAAAAAAAAAAAAGCCCAGTATGTTTAAAATGCTTCCTGCAGGATGAGGGTTTGAGAATGCAAAAGAAAGGCCCTGCTGAAACGCCAGTGTCAGCAAGCCCAGAAGGCATAACCCTCAGAGGTGAGTGCATAATTTGCATAGCCCCACCCTTTCTGGGAAAGAGAAACTAGCTGTGGATATAAGGTGCAGCTGGCTCTCTAGACCTTGCTTTAGTCAAAAGACATAGGTAGTCTGAGGATGGAGCAGGAACTCAGCAGGACCCCGGCCAGGGACCTGGACAAGTTCATAGAGGATCACCTCCTTCCCAACACCAACTTCCGAACTGATGTCAGAGCAGCCATCAACACAATATGTGATTTCCTGAAGGAGAGATGCTTCCAAGGTGCCGCCCACCCTGTGAGGGTCTCCAAGGTGGTGAAGGTGAGGCCCCTCAGCCTGAGCTGACCGGGGAGGGGAGGGAGAGGACCCTGAGGATCCAGGCTGCGGCCCTGAGAAGGGAGTGAGTTGCCTGCCTTCTCTGTGGCCCAGTGTTCTCATGCTCACCCCAGCTGAGACACAGGGTAGAGAACAGAGCAGAGACCCCACCTGCTGCATGGCTGGACTGATGCAGCCTCATTGCCCATGTCCCCATCTGTCAAATGACACTTCTGGACAACGGTACCTAACCCAGTCACTGTGATGGCTACTGAAATGTCATTTTGTAATGTCAGTTCTGCTCTGTGAGGTGTGCAAGTGTGTTAGTGAGTGTGCTCAGCATTTTATTTAGGGAGGCGCCTCTCAGTATCATTATTTTCTCAAACATGTTCTTTGTGAATTCACCTCTCTTGATCTAAGCTTTTCTTCTGTGACTTTTCAATTCTGTCCCAGGCTGTCTTCATGAAGACATGTGGTGCACTATTAGTGTATTCCTTTGAGAGTCTGTTAACAACGGGATCATGACAATCCTTTCAAAGGTCTGTGTTAATTTACTCAGTCTACTCTCACACACTACCATCCCATCCTTTACCCTAACACTGACCTCCCCAGAGAGTCTCTCTGATGACATGTCACATGTGTGCAGATAGAGCCAGATCCCACATCAGAGAACATGGCTGTTTTGTCTCCCCCCCACAACCCTTCCTTAATCCTCACTTCCTTTAAGTCCCTCCTCTGCCTCCCCCACATAGTTACTGTTCTATCACAGACAGACAGACAGACAGACTCTATCTCTCAGCCACATTTAAATCTAGATGCTGATATTTATCATTCTGAGTTTGGCTTACCTACTGTACCAGGAGGAGATCCAGAACCATCTATTTTCCTACATAGATCCTGACTTCACTTTTCAGGGCTGACTAGTATTCCACTGCCCATGTGCCAGCTTCCTCTATCCATCAATCTCCCTGGCTGGTGGCCCCCTCGGCCATTGAGGGTCTGGACTGCTGGGCGTGGCTTTGCCTGTTGCCTGTCATTCTCATTCTTGTTTTTCAGGGCGGCTCCTCCGGCAAAGGCACAGCCCTCCGGGGCAGGTCGGATGCCGACCTGGTGGTGTTCCTTAACAATCTCCACAGTTTTGAGGATCAGTTACAGAGACGGGGAGAGTTCATCCAGGAAATTAAGAAACAGCTGTACAACTTTCAGAGAGAGAGAGACATATGGGTGAAGTTTGAGGTTCAGAGTTCATGGTGGTCCAACCCCCGGGCACTCAGCTTCAAACTGAGCTCTCCTCAACTCCGGCAGGAGGTAGAGTTTGATGTGCTGCCGGCCTATGATGTCCTGGGTAAGCAGGTTAGAACCTCAGCTCACCCTCTCATGTGCCTTCATCCTCTCTGCCATTTCTTTTAGTGTGTGTGTGGTGGGGGGTATTCACATGTGTGCAGATCTATGCACATGTTTGCAGGTGTGGGTGAAGACCAGAGTCTTGGATGTCGGTTACTTAGGAGCCTGCTTTTGTTAAGGCTGACCTAGAATTGCTGGCCCACCTTCATGGCTGCTGCAGTGAGCAGCTGGGGTCAGGTGTAGTGTGTACTCTGATGGAGATGTACACCCAACCTCGGGCAACCTGGAGCCTCAGCATGTGTGTTAGGTACAGCACAGGGGTGCATTGCCCAGCCATGTAGGAGGTGTCTGAAGGAGAGGGCTGACTGTAAAACATATTCAGGACTTTATTCAGGCTTCTGCCTCTCCCTATAATACAGCATCATTTATCTGTGTTGAGATAGGTTGACCTTTGCCCTGGAGCTGGCTGATCCACCTACCTGGTCAGACAGTGAGCCTGAGGGATCCCCCTGTCTGCACCTCCCCAGCACTGGGGTTTCAGGTGTGGAGCCCCCTGCAGATTCTTATGTGAGTGCTGGGAATCTGCTGTGGAGTCCTTATACTTGCCTGTCAATCCCTTTAATGGAGCCATCTCCCCCAGCCCAGGGGAATCCTACAGAATACTTGCAGGGAAAGCAGCTCTCTTGTGGCTGAGTGTGGAAATTCTGTGTCTCTAAAAGAGAGACAGAGATGTAGCTATATAAACATCTGTTGTATCTTCTATAAAAGAGAAGAAAACCTCAGATTTGTGTGAGGCCTGTGTGTGTGTGTGTGTGTGTGTGTGTGTGTGTGTGTGTGTGTGTGTGTATTCCGAAATTACAAATTGCCCAACTTCACAAAGGCAATCAGGAACACCCCTGAGAGCACAGTGGGGCTTGGGAGCTTAGAGAATATTTGGATTTTACATTTGGGAGAAACAGCATCCCTGCTGGCCAATGAGAGAACTGCACTATTAACTTAGCAACCAGGCCACCATGGAAACAATAGGGAATAAGAGGCCAGCCTGGGAGTAGGAGCAGGCAGCATGCTGTGGGAAGCTGCAAGAAGGCTTAGACCCCTGCAGAGTGGAGGGGCCCAGAGGGGGTGACCCAGAAATGAGCTGGGGTGGCTGTCTTGTCATGGACTCCTCAGCTTCAAGCAGCTTTCCAGAGGGGAAGTGGGGCCACCACAGAAGGACTACCTGGGAAATGGCAGTGTGGGGGACAGCCCGAGAGGGGACCCCAGCCACAACCTTACCCAAGGTGACATAGCTGATGAGCCCTACTGTGTGCTGGGCCCTGAAATTGAAAAGACACACACAAGACTCTCCTGGGTCACTGAGTGACTGAGTGTGTCACCAATTCCATCAGTGGGTGACTTTGTCCTGTGTCAGCATCAAACCCTGATGGTATAGCCTGCTGCAACTATGGCCGCATACATGTACACAGCTAACGCACAGCCTGCTGCCTGCCTAATCTACTCAGATGTGCACAGGCACCCACACATAACCACTCAACCACATTTGTTTCATAGCCTTCTGCCTACACCCACATAAGCGTGCACACACATACACACACAAACACACACACACACCCTGCTGGGAATAGACAAAGCAAGCCTCACGATACTAAGTTGTGCACTACAGAAAGTCATCCAGAGGAAACACACAGTGGCTGGGGAGGCAGCTTGGGGATAAGGGCAATTGCTGCACAAGCAGGAAGAACTGAGTTCAAATCCCCAACATCCACCTAAACAGAGAGGACCACACATGGACCTGTCACCTAGGCCCTACATGGCCAGAGACAGGAGAATCTCTGTGGCCTGCTGGATGCCAGCCAAAATCCACATTCACAGAGAGACCCTGCCATGGGATAAGGTGACAAACTTATGCCCTCCTCTGTCCTCTTAACATACATGTGTACTTCTCAAATATACACAAACAAAACATACACCATACAAACATAAGACAGAGGCTCTGTAAGCACACGATGCATGATGTACTAACATAGCAGACTGTTCCACAGTAAATCTGACACAAGTAGGTGTGTACACACATGACAAGCCCCATGCAGAAGACACTGGACACCAGAGCATGATTGGCCATTATTAGATGACCGTGCATCCTCTTGTGTGTGACCGCAGTGAGCCATTTCTCCCCACTACTGTCTCCAGGCCTGTGAAGAAGACGCTGTACTAGGACCACCTGGGGGCAGGGACTTTCCAGGCCCACATGGAGCATGCAGTCCTGAGGTGTGGTGGGACACATGGATGTATGGGGAGTGATGCTTGCTGTGGTTAAAAACTCTGTTCTGGTCACTGAACCCCATAGCCTGTGAGCTTGTCAGCCCAGATAGACCCAATAACCCCTGGGTGTTAACTGAATAAAGCCTCCTTGACAGGTCAACTCAACTACAGCAAGCCTGACCCCCAAAACTATGCTGACCTCATCAGGGAATGCACGTTTCTGGGGAAAGAAGGAGAGTTCTCTGCCTGCTTCACTGAGCTCCAGAGAAACTTCCTGAGGAACCGTCCAACCAAGCTGAAGAGTCTCATCCGCCTGGTCAAGTACTGGTACCAACTGGTATGGCGTCTGGCCCAGCCACCATGAGCCCTGACTATACAGAGGCTAGAGAATGGAGGGGTGATGAGGAGAAGGAAAGTGACAAGCAAGGGGGAAGGGAAGGAGTGGTGGGAAGGGAAAGAGAGAGAATGGAGAGGTGAAGGGGAAGTAGGAGGGAGAAGGATGGGGAGAGAGGAACCGGGAGGAAGGAGAATTTCCATGCTGGTTAAGAATGATTTCTTCTAGTCCAGCTTCTAGTCAACAAACTCCCTCTTCAGCTGCATCTAATTCATCGTTCAAGTGTCCTTCTGATCCCTGGATTTCTCTATCTTTCTTCTGTTATTTTGAGACAGGGTCTCACTATGTAGCTTTTGATGTCCTGTAACTTACTACATAGACCAGGGCTTGCCTTGAGCTCACAGATCTGCCTACATCTGTTTCCTAATGCTAGAGTGAAAGGTGTTCACTATCACACCCAACTTTATCTATGGATTTCTAGTTTTATTTTCTTTTTAAACATTCACTGCTAATTATTATTACTTTCATTTTCTCGATGTTTCAAGCTGTGGTTTCTTTAAGCATCCATCTGGCAATATTCTTAGAGCTTTTATATTTGTGTGAGGTATATGTGCTTTGGGTATGTGTATGCCTGTTCATGGGAGCACATGATGGTGTGTGCATGTATGTGCAAGCATGTGCACAAACTTATGGAGACCGGAGAGCAATGCCAGGTCCTCCGTCAATCTCCATATTTTATATCCAGGCAGGGTTTCTCACTTGAACATACAGGGTGCTAAATCAGCAGCTCTGGACCATCATATAACTCAGGGGATCCCCATTTCCATACACTTCGGCTGGGATTACGAGTCAGCTTCCTCACGGGCCTGACATTCCTGTTCATGTTGGGGACCTGAACTCCCTGGGTTGCCTAGGGCCACTTTACCCACTGGGCCATCTCCCTGGCCCCTCCCCAGTCATGTCAGAGCCTGTGATAAACCTTCAGTAGTGAGCATCATTGCTCTCCGCCCCCACCCCCACTCCCTGGCTGTCCCTCAAGTGTCCCGAATCCTCCTGAGCCGGCTGGGAATGCTCAGTCTTAGTGGACCACACAGTCTCCATCTCAACCACTCAGCCCTTGCCTATAGCACAGGAGCATCCATAGACTGACTGTACATGAAAGGCGTGGCTGTGTGCCAGTAAACCTGCAATGACATCAGGTGGCAGCTGTACTGACCCTGTGAGAAGTGGCCCCCCCACAACAGCTGACGCCCCGTTTTTCTCTTTGCCTTTCTCTTCTCAGTGTAAGGAGAAGCTGGGGAAGTCACTGCCCCCACAGTATGCCCTGGAGCTGCTCACAGTCTACGCCTGGGAACGCGGGAGCGGATTCCCAGAGTTCAACACAGCCGAGGGCTTCCGGGCAGTCTTGGAACTGGTCACCAAGTACAGGCAGCTTCGAGTCTACTGGACAACGTATTATGACTTTGGAGACCAGAGGGTCTCCAGCTACCTGCACAAACAGCTTAGAAAAGACAGGTAGCCTGTCCCCTCGGGGCTCAGCTCCCACAGGGAGGACCATCTGCAGCGGTGGGGAAGCGGGGAGGCGGGGAGCTGGGGCATCGCCTGTCCTGGCACTGTGCTGGGCACTGTCCTGCTGTCACCTGACTGACAGGAGGACCTGCAGCCCTGGGAGGCAGGGGTGGGCCCTGCTGTCTGCAGATGAGGAGACCAAGGCTCTGACCTTGTCCAGACCCAAACTGCACAGGGAGGGGATTCAGGGAGCAGGAACTGAGATCTCCAGCTGTAACAGTATCATAAGGGCTGTGAGGACTGGAGCAATGCTAGACTAACTGTAAACAATGCATGTAAACAAGGACCTGCCTTAATCTTGTGTTATCTTCAGCCTTCACACCCCATCTTTTGAGACTTCCCATCTCACAGATCAGACAGGCTGAGGGACCTGCCCCAGGACACACAGCAACTAAAGGCTAGAGGATTGGACCCCAGGCCTTCCAGGTCATGGGCAAAGATGCCTCCAGGCCTGCTCTATGCTGAGGCGCAGGGACTCTGGACAAATCTGGGACAGGGGTGCTCTGCTGGGCTCTTCCACTGTCCCTGTGCAGTGGCACCTGGGGCACTGGCCATCTGGCCACTTCCCTCTCTGAATGTTGCTCTGCAGGCCTGTGATCCTGGACCCGGCTGACCCAACAGGGAACGTGGCTGGTGGGAGACCAGATGGCTGGGGGCGGTTAGCAGGAGAGGCTGTGGCCTGGCTTCGGTACCCATGCTTTAAATCCTGGGATGGTTTCCCAGTGCGCTCCTGGGATGTGCCGGTGAGAACTTGTCATCATCCTGCCCCCTTGCACACAGCTTTGACCACTTGATCTATTTCAAGAATAGTCAAACAAAAATGTGGTCTTTCCAAAGGTGCCAGGCTTATAGTTTGTCCTGCCACACAGGTGCCAGGCTTATAGTTTGTCCTGCCACACAGGTGCCAGGCTTATAGTTTGTCATGCCACACTGCTGGCTTTACAGTCATCGTGACCTCAGACTGTCACATCGCCTCTGCAGAGTCCCTGTCACTCAGCATCCTAAGGAATGACAGCCTCTGCCCTGAGTGTCTGCTTTGTGCTCAGGCTCTGTCCTGGGTTCTTTATCAGACAGTAGTTCACTGAATCTTCATACATGTTCATCCTGTGTTCTTTATCAGACAGTAGTTTACTGAATCTTCATACATGTTCATCCTGTGTTCTTTATCAGACAGTTCTCACTGGATATTCATACATGTTCATCCTGTGTTCTTTATCAGACAGTACTCACTGGATCTGTATACATGCTGTCCTGTGTTCTTTGTCATACAGTAATTCACTGGATCCACATACATGCTGCCCTGTGTTCTTATCATACAGTAATTCCCTGAACCCTCATCATGGCTCTACAAGGTGAACTTAATAACATCTATCTCTTTCTGATGAGACAAGAGGCTCAGACTGAGGATATGGCTCAGTCAATGAAACTCTTGCCACAAAAGTAAGGATAAAGAGCCTGATATCATCTCCAGAACCATGTAAATAAGCCAGACAAGGAGACGTGCACTTGACATCCCAATTTTGGGAAGTTGCAATGGGCTCTCTGGTGAGGGAACATAGCCTAGTTGGTGAGGTTCAGGGTAGAATGACTCAAAATACCAAGGTGGACAGAACTAAAGGAGTATATTGTTATCTGTTGATTTCACACGCACGCGCGCGCGCGCGCGCTTGCACACACACACACACACACACACACACACACACAGAGAGAGAGAGAGAGAGAGAGAATAGTATGAGAGAGCTGAAACCACTGGCTCAGGATGATCAGCTAAGGAGTTGGGCTGGGAATCCCATGGACTCTGAAGCCAGCGCTCAGATCCAGTAAGCCTCTCATCTGTCCTGTTTCATCGTTACATGGCCAACAGGACTCAGGGAAGATGTATCACAGCCAAGGAGACACAGAGGGACCTGCACTTGGACCTTTCCTCTCATTGGGCAGGAGTCTTTCTGGTGTTAGGGAACAGATGATGCCATGTGTGGACTCAGGGTGGGGCTTAGTTGGGTGCAGGGAAGAGGGAGCAAACCTTGGAAGGTCTGGAAAGGATGGAGAGGGGACCCAGGAGGGAGGCAGCTGTGGCTGCTGTGGCTTTTAGGTCTGTCACCGGCAGATAGTTTGCTAGGCCCTGTGTCCCATTTGGCAGATTTGTTACTGGATGAGGGAATCTCAGATGGGGCTACATACACCTTCAACCTGCTAAGCACCCCCCAAAAAAACTCTTGACATCATCTTCCCAACATGGGGATGTGCTGTCCTTCTGAGGGGCTGTGCTGTCATCATGGTGCCCACCCCCAGAGCTCATTCACATCCTCTCCCCAGTAGAAATTCGGGCTCCTGGCATGATTATGTGTTTTCTTTGTCAGGTGGAGGTTGATTTTCCATATCTGGAGGTGAGTTTTATTTTCTTTGTTTTTGTTTTGGTGTGAGCTTCAGTTGCATAGCACAGGCTAGCCTGGAGCTTGCCATCCTCTTGCCTTAGTGCGGGGACGACTGCAGTGTAGGCCTGATGTGTCCTGCATTCCCTCCATCCCCAGGTGGATGAGAACTGGACTTGTGTCCTCCTGTGAGCACAGCAGCACCTGCCCAGGAGGCTCCGGAGTCAGGGGATGTGCTCCTCTGAGCAGGCCTTGACCAGAAAGGGCAGGATGCTGCCCACAGGCCCCAGTGACAGTGTCCAACCTGGGGTCAGATCCAGGCTCCTGAGCCCTGCCTGCCCACACCTCCATCCTGCATCACAGACAGCCTTCCTCACAGCCTGCTTCATCTTCCTCATCCTCTGACTGTGCTCTCTGGGGGACAAGAGATTCAGAAGGGAGGGGAGAACTCAAGCTTGACTTCTGTCTGTTGGACAGTTCTGTTGGAGGGTTCTGTCCAATTTCTGATCAATAAACCATAGTAGATGCTATGAGTTGTGTGTGAATTCTGAGGGACAGGGACAGGAATGTGAATGTGTGTGTTTGTGTGTGTGTGTGTGTGTGCATGGTTCAACAAGTGCATTTATTGAACACATACTACACGCTCCAAATGGGCCCAAGCTCTGAGTACTCAACAGTGGACAGAATAGAACCAGTCTAATACACTCTGATGCCACATGGTTTGGGATCCCTCCAGGTCTCTTAGTTTACATAAACCCAAGACAGGAGTCCAAGGCCTGCCCTATGTGACTCCTAAGCTTCTCTGCAGCTGCATGTGGTCAAGGGGACCAGGGAATGATCAATGCACAGAAAGATGCACTGTGGCAGCAACATGCGGGCTGGGGTTCAAGGAAGTGCAAGACGAATAAAACATGTGACGCTGGTGGTCACAAATACTGGAACGTGGCTGTGTGGTAATGGTGAACTTTTGATGCATTAAATTAAATCATAGCGAGTATTCCCTTCGTTTTTCTCCTTCTGAGACAAGATATCATGTGGCATAAGCTGACTTGGAACTGAGAGGCATCTTTTTGCCTCTGTCTCCCAAGTTCTAGAATCACACACGCGCGCGCACACACACACACACACACACACACACACACCCCACCCTCCACACACAGACTAACAGTTCCATGTTCAGTGTTGTGACCCAATGGCACATATGTATGCACTCACCTTTTGTACTGTGCTTAGTTAAGTGTTCAAGGCATTGATAAAGACCATGTTCGTTAACAGCAGGCTATAGGATAATTGATGAGCAGCCTATGGGAGGAGCCACAAGGTGGCAGGATCAGGTTTCCATGACAACAGCGAAGAAGGCTCACCTCTCGGATGGAGTAAGATGTGCACGGTTGACAGTCTCCTACCACTGTGTCTGACTGCCATGTTGTGCAGTGTCATGCTTGCCCCTGACTGGACCTGCCTGAGAGCCCTTTGACCCTAAGTGTGGTGTTCATCCCTGCTCTCCCTTGGGTGGTCATGTTGGTTCTGACTTACTGTTCGCCAAGGAAGTGGCAGGGCTCGATGACAGACACTTTGGGTTTCCATGGCCTGCCTTCAACTTTGATCTTCTGCCCACGGTCAGGGGCTTCCTGGTTGTGAGATGTTTCATTCTTTTGGCTCTTTTGGGGGCCCACCACCCAGCTCCCAAATAAATCACACAGAGGCTTATCACTATTAGCACCCAGCCTCAGCTTGGCTTTTCTTAACTTAAATTATCCCACCTACCTACTGCCTCTGCATAGCCTACTTTCAGTCTTACTCCGTGGCTGGCTGGGCAGCTGGCTGGCTGGACCCTGACACCCTCCTGTCCTTGTTCTCTTGCTGCTGCTCCTTCTCCTCCCAGATTTCTCCTCCTACTTATTCTCTGCCTGCCAGCCCCACCTATCCTTTCTCCTGCCTCGATACTGGCTGTTTAGAGCTTTATTAGGTCATCAGGTGTTTTAGACAATCAAGGTAACACAGCTTCACAGAGTTAAACAAATGCAGCATAAACTAAAGTAGCTCACCTGAAAATAATATTCCCCAACACTTCCTCCTCTCCAGGGCCCACCCACTGAGTAAGTAGTGCAGGTCCATTGAGGGGGGTACTGCTCTATTCACCATGGTACTGCAAGGGTTCGCTTCCCCAGGGAGCCACTTTATCTACACTCAGTGGGCTCAAATTTAAAATTGGATTTAGGTCAGTAAAGCTGTGACCGCCACTGTCCTCCTTCACCAGCCTTAGATCCTCAGTGGAAACACCTCTAAGCATGTCTGTGAGGGCATTTCCAGAGATGTATACTGACTGTTTCCTTCACTGAATAACCTTCTATAGCCTGTTGTTAGCCCACCTCCCCATCTCTGGAGTTTTGTCTGGATTCACAGGGGTTAAATGATGCTTGAGAAGATCAAATATGAGAATGGTTACCAATACATAAATTGGGGGGAAGGGCTCTTCTGCTGAGGGAATTGGGAAAGCTGGATCTCCACTGACAGGAATAAATCCCAGCCTCACCTGGCCATGTACGAAGGCCACGAAATGGAAGCAGAGAATCCTAAGGAAACAGAGCACAGCTTAGCCAGGATGACCTTGGCTGTTTTCTTGGCTCTAACATGAAAACCACAGGCAACTCTGGATGATTCTTTTATCTCAGGCCTCGTGCATGCTGGGTAAGCAGTCTGCCACTGAGACACAGCCTCAGCCATTCACCGGAACACTGCAGACAAGTCCTTCCCTGCTGAGCCACACCACTGTTGCCATTCTGCTCTCAGAGGTTCACACAAGGAAGCCAATCCATCATGGAGGAGTGGGAGGTGACCATGACATATCATACATGGACTCACATGGCTGTACATTAGATGTGGGCTGATACGGTGGGTCTACAGCGTGGCAGGCAGGAACATGAGGGACCCCCTGGGCATTGTTATTAAAAAGGGTCTCTGTATCTGGGAGTGTTTCAGAAGGGACAAGACTGGAGTCATAGACCAGCGTCAGTGGGTCTGGGGGCTCAGATAGAACACAAGGCTGAGTGTGATTTGTTCTGTGGTTGAGAGACTGTGGGTGTTCTCACACCTCAGGACTTTGGGGCTCCTGGGTCTCAGAGTCATTAGAGTGAGAACTGAATAAATGAGGGCCAGGGAGACCCACCACTCCCCCACCAGAGTGATTAAAACAGGGGCTGGTGATTCTGAGCAATGCCCTGCCCTCGTAGTGAGCAAGATCCAAGGGATCACACATATGGGGCTTTGCGGTCATGGGATTTGTGTATTTATGTAGCCACACATGTTGTCTCACCACACTGAATTATGGAACCATTGGGTCTCTACATGAAGGGTGGTGCGTGTGTGTGTGTGTGTGTGTGTGTGTGTGTGTGTGTGTATAAAATCCCAGAACTTGGAAAACTGAAGCAGGCAGATTTTTGTGAATTCCAGGCCAGAGTGGGATATATAATGAGGCCCTGTCTCAGAAAGAATGAAAGGAAGAGAGAGAAATAAGTTAGTTTTGAGATTAAGTCTGAGCATTTTGATTTATTTCACTGCTTCAAATCTCATCATCGCCTCCGACAACTAAGTTTTAAAGTCACAATCAAACCAGATTCCACGCGATTTTATTTTCCTGCGCTGCACACCCCCTGACTCCAGAGCCTTGGGGGCAGATGCTGCTGTGCTCACAGAAGGACGCATGCTCAGTTCTCATCCACCTGGGGCTGGAGGGAAGGCAGGGCATATCAGGTCTACACTGCAGGTATCCCAGCACTAAGGCAGGAGGATGGTGAGCTCCAGGCTAGTCTGAGCTACACAGCAGAAGCCCACATCAAAACAATTGAAAGCAACAAAGAGGGGAAAAAAGCTTACTTGTTATTGTTGCACAGGAACTTCCATCTGCAACAGAAAACACACAATGTCAGGAGCCTGCATTCCTACTTGGAAGGGATGCAAATGAGCTCTGAGGGTGGGCACCATGAGGATACCAGGGCCCCTCAGAAGAAGGAAAGCACATCCCCACGTTAGGAAGATAGCCGTCAGGACTTTGGGGGTGCTCAGCAGGTTGAAGGTGTATGCATCCCCACCAGAGGTCCCCTCTTTCATATCTGCCAAATGGAAAGAGAGGGCCAAGTGACCTCTCTGTGGCATGGCAGTCCTAAAGGCCACTGTGGCCACAGCTGCCTCCCTCCTGGGTCTCTTTTCTCTCCCTTCCTGACCTTCTGAGGTTTTTCTTCCCTCATCCCTGCAGCCATCCTAAGCCCATCCTGAGGCCCACATGACATCATCTGTTCTCTAACATCAGAAGTCCTATGTCCCAGGAGAGGAAAAAATCCAAGTGCAGGTCCCTCTGTGTCTCTTGACAGTGACACAGCACCCTCTCCCCAGTCCCATTGGCCACATGGGGAGACAGGACAGATGGGTGGCTTCCTGGATCTGAGCGCTGGCTTCAGAGTCCTTGGGATTCCCAGCCCAACTCCTTAGCTGAGCATCCCGAGCCAGTGGTTTCAGCTCTCTCATCTTAATGGCCTCTGTGTGTGTGTGTGTGTGTGTGTGTGTGTGTGTGTGTGTGTGTGTGCAATCAAAAGATAACCATATACTCCTCAAGTTCTGTCCACCTTGGCATTTTGAGTCATACTAGATTGGAGCTCACCAACTAGCCTATGCTCCCTCACAAGTGAGCCAGGGGTCCTGCCATTTGTATTTCCCAAAATTGGGATGTCAAGTGCACGTCTCCTTGTCTGGCTTATTTACATGGTTCTGGAGATGATATCAGGCTCTTTATCCTTACTTTTGTGGCAAGAGTTTCATTGACTGAGCCATATCCTCAGTCTGAGCCTCTTGTCTCATCAGAAAGAGATGGATGTTATTAAGTTCACCTTGTAGAGCCATGATGAGGGTTCAGGGAATTACTGTATGATAAGATAAGCATGTATGTGGATCCAGTGAATTACTGTATGACAAAGAACACAGGACAGCATGTATACAGATCCAGTGAGTACTGTCTGATAAAGAACACAGGATGAACATGTATGAAGATCCAGTGAACTACTGTCTGATAAAGAACACAGGATGAACATGTATGAAGATTCAGTGAACTACTGTCTGATAAAGAACCCAGGACAGAGCCTGAGCACAAAGCAGACACTCAGGGCAGAGGCTGTCATTCCTTAGGATGCTGAGTGACAGGGACTCTGCAGAGGCGATGTGACAGTCTGAGGTCACGATGACTGTAAAGCCAGCAGTGTGGCATGACAAACTATAAGCCTGGCACCTGTGTGGCAGGACAAACTATAAGCCTGGCACCTTTGGAAAGACCACATTTTTGTTTGACTGTTCTTGAAATAGATCAAGTGGTCAAAGCTGTGTGCAAGGGGGCAGGATGATGACAAGTTCTCACCGGCACATCCCAGGAGCGCACTGGGAAACCATCCCAGGATTTAAAGCATGGGTACCGAAGCCAGGCCACAGCCTCTCCTGCTAACCGCCCCCAGCCATCTGGTCTCCCACCAGCCACGTTCCCTGT